ACGCGGGCCTCTCACTGCTGTGGCCCCTCCCGCCGCGGAGCACAGGCTCCGGACGCGCAGGCTCAGCGGCCATGGCTCACGGGCCCAGCCGCTCCGCGGCATGTGGGATCTTCCCGGACCGGGGCACGAACCCGCGTCCCCTGCATCGGCAGGCGGACGCCCAACCACTGCGCCACCAGGGAATCCCCTCATGGTGTTTTTATGATGCGTCAATGTATAGTTGTGGGTTTCCAGGTGTTTCCTCCCCTCGGTGCCCTGAAGCTCGAGGGCTGTCAGCAAGCTGGTCTTCCTTTCCTGCTCCCTCATCTCCTGACACGGCCCAACACAAACATCGGGTGTTTTAGAGCCTCAGTGGTGGCACTGAAGAGAATCCATCCTTTACTCATTCATGGAACATAAACGTTTGTGAAAGAGGTTGTTCAAAAAATGTATTGTGGGAAAATAGACATAGCATACATTTACAATTTTAACCATTTTTAAATGTACAATTCAGAGGCATTAAGTACATTCACAACAGTGTGAGCAGCCGTCACTCACTGCCCTCCAAGGCCAGAACTTGTGCCTCATGACAAAGTGAAAGTGTTTCATAAACCATGAGGGTAAAGATGGTCCGATTAGGAGTGTGGTAGCTAAAGTCTTAAAATCCGCCCATCCACCCTTCCGGTGTCTGTTGCGTGCCAGGCCCTAGTAAATACAAAAGTGAATGAGACATGAACCCTGCCAGGGGGAGCCTGGAGCCTGGATGCCGGGGCCCCCTGTCCACCTTCAACGCAGAGGGGGAAGATACAGAGTGTTCTTAGACCAAGTGTCTAGCTTGGAGGAATGCAGGTTTTCCTTGTTTTATTAGCCTAGGGAAATGGGAAATGCTCTTGAGTGAGACCCCAGCTGCTCCCAGTACCAAGACTTGAAGGATTTTCTCTCTTGCCTATTGTGTTTTGCTCTGGTCTCTTCATAGGAGATAGATGTGATAACTAGTTTGCCTAGAGCTTTTCGGTTGACTAAGCCCTGTCCCCAGGGTTCTCATTTGACCTACACACACCTGGTGAGGGTAGTCGGGCAGAGAGAACTGTTTTATAGCCTGGGAAGCTGGGGCTCAGAGCATCAGGCAGGTCCAGGTTCTGCCCAATGCCACAAACTTGTATGTAGGTTCTCACTCTGCACAGGTCTTTAGGGGCTAGAGAAAGCCTTTGGGAGAGGCAGCGCCTGGGTGAAGGTGGCTGGTTCCACACCAAGAAAGAAGAGGGCCGGGCAGGGAAGTATCTTTTAATGCTCAGAGGCACGGAGCCCAAGTCAGATTGAGCTGTCGAGCTGCCAGTGGGAGCCGCGGCGGCTGCAGGGTGATGAGACAGAGGCTTTGATGGGCCTCACACTGTCTGAAAGGCAATCAAACCGCAGCAGCTGGAATGATCCTCAACGCTTTGTATTAAAGCCGGAAGCAGCTCCTCACTGGAGCCAGCGGGCAAACCCCATGGGTCTACTAGGCCACAGGGGTCCAGGGGTCCAGCGGAGTGACCCACCAAGTGGTGGGCCTTGCTCTCGACACACGAGGCTCTGCTCTTAACTGGACCTTTAGGCAAACACTGCTGGCCACTGTGCCCAAAATGAGGTGACAGAGGTGAATGTTCGTGCCCTTAGGGGAGCGGTCCGTGGACACTGTGTATAGATAAACCCCACACCCAAACTTTACAGAACGGCCCGGCAACCCATGGACTGGAGGTTGGATCACCCCAACCCTCTGCCCGTGACCTAGTTCTACACCTGCTCGTTGAACCCCACTTCCGTAGTCACGTGACCCAAACTCATTCTTATGCCCCTTGAGCACCACGTTTCAATTCTTCTTTTTGAGTCAGAAAAGATTCCATCCTCTTCTCTCTCCATGTCTTTGGGCATGTTCGCTTAGGGGTGCAGTGTTTTTATGTGTAGTATTTATTTTTACAGGTCAGGTGGGTGCAGTCATAATCATTATGATAGCACAGGCCTCACTGGAACTAGGAGTCCTTATTTTGGGGGAGTGGAATCTCCCGGTGCTGTGACAAGGGCCTGCAATTACCACTTCCGGCTCAGAGCCCGAGCCCTGATAAAGCCGCAGCCCTTGGAGGGGATCAGTCCCTGGACCTGACCCAGTCCTGCCCAAGGATGATAAATGGCCCAGCCTCACGAGCGCTCCTCAGGCTCCACATTGATCTCAGGTCCTCTGCCAAGCACCATTCGGGTCCTTCCTAAACAGGGCAGTTTGATTATGTGCCCTATTTGTGTGAAAGGTAGAGTTATGGTGTTCTTTGTTACTGCTGCTGCTAATTAGCATGTCTATTAATAGAAACATTAATAGTTAGGAAGTGGGGAGGTTTAGAAAGCTCCCGTATCCTGCCGACCATCACACACCCCGGGATAAGGAGGGAGGGAATAACTAATGAGTACAGATTTTGACTGAATTGGTTGGAATCTGTAGAGCCACTTTCTGTTCCCCAGAGTGATAGGAGGAGAAATAGCAGGAAACCTAGGGCCAGTCAGCAACAGGACAGCTGAGTCATGGTTTTTGTATGCTTATATATTGTGATTTCATTATTTTGAAGTAATTAAACTGCTTTTTAAATAAGCTTCTGATTTGCAGTCTTCCCACACCTATCCCTTGTGAGTGAAGCTTTGTGGAATGTCTGGATTCCTGGCAGGAGGGGGAACACTGAGTGAGGATTTCTGGCCTCCCTTCACTTCCCCAGGGAACTGGACACCTCCTTGAGCAGCTCTTCTCCAGCAGGGCAGCCAAAGGCTCAAGGTGGAGGGGAGGGTTTCTCAGATCTAAACAACTTCTGATTTTAAGGTCCCTCCTCCAATCTAGAAGAGAAGAAAGACTTTGGGGAGGAGGTTTGGGATGGGGCTAAGGAATGAGACCAGAGTCCTGGCTACATTGTGTGAAGTGGGAGAAAGAAAGCAGGGATGGCAAGCAGAGCTTGATTTGTGTGCAGGGCAGATGGCTACCAGTGTGAGGTCTTTGAAACTTTAAATCCAGCTATTTAAAATATGTTCAAAGACCTAAAGGAAACCATGTCTAAGTAACTAAAGGAAAGTGTGAGAACAATGTCTCACCAAACAGAGAATATCAATAAAGAGACAGGAATTATCAAAAAGAATCAAACAGAAATTGTGGAGTTAATAAGTACAATAATAAAATTCACTAGAAGTGTAATGAAAAATTCACTAGAGGGTCCCAACAGCATATCTGAGCAGGCAGAAGAAAGAATTAGTGAGCTTGAAGATAAGGCAATTGAGATTATCCAGTCTGAGGAACACAAATAAAAAATAAAGAAAGAAAGAAAAATGAACAGAGCCTCAGAAACCTGTGGGACGCCATCAAGCACGCCAACCTATGCACAATCAGGTTCTATAAGGAAGGGAAAGGGAGAGAGAAACAAAAATAATATTTAAAGAAATAATAACCAAAACCCCCCCAAATTTGATGAAAGCCATTAATTTATGCACCCAAGAAGCTCAGTGAACTGCAAGTAGGATAAACTCAAAGGGATCTATTGTTAGACACATAAAAATCAAACCACTGGATGACAAAGACAAAGAACTTTGAAAGCAGCAAGAAAGAAGCAACTCATCGCATACAGAGGATCCTCAATAAGATGAACAGATGATTTCTCATTAGAAACCATGGAGGCCAGAAACAGTGGGATGGTAAAGTCAAAGTACTGACCGGGGCGGGGAAGAAACCCTGTCAGTCAAAAGTTCTATATCTGGTAAAACTATCTTTCAAAACTAAAGGATAAATTAAGACATTTCCAGATAAACAAAATTGAGAGAGTTTGTCTCTAGCAGACCTGCCCTACCAGAAATACTACTGAAATAAAAGGACACTAAATTGCAACTTCAGTCAACATGAGAAAATAAAGAGCACTGGTAAAACTACATAAATAAGTTAAGATGCTATAAATGTATTTTTTATTTGTAACTCCTTTCTACTGACTTAAAAGACAACTGCATAAAGCAATAAATACAAATCTATGTTGATGGGCATAAAATGTATAAAGATGTAATTTATAATAATAACAGGGAGGGGGGAATGGAAACTATACAGGAACAAATTTTTTATACTATTGGAATTAAGTCATTATTAATCCAAACTGTTGTAAATTGAGATATTAATGGGGAGCCCCAGGGCAACCACCAAGAAAACAAATAAATTATACGTAGTAAATAAAATTACAAGAGAATTACAGTTGTACAGTAGAAAATAACCAATACAAACAACAAAAGAAGGCAGTAGTGGAGGAATAGAGGAACAAAAAGGACATATGAAATACAGAAAAGAAATAGCAAAGTGGCTGACACAAATCATACTTTACCCATCACATTAAATATAAACAGATTAAACTTTCCAATTAAAAAGCAGAGACTGGAAGAAAAGATTTAAAAACGTGATCCAGCTACATGCTGTCTACAAGAGAACCACTTTAGATTCAAAGGCACAAATAGGTTGAAGGTAAAAGGGCAGAGAAGATGTATCATGAGGAAGATGTATCAACCAAAAGAGCTGGAGCGGCTGTACTAACAACAGACAAAACAGACTTTAAGGCAAAAATTGTGACTAAAGACAAAGCAGCACATTTTATGATGATAAAGGGTCAATTCCTCAAGAAGAGATACCATTATAAACATACAAGTGAGTGAAGTAAGTCAGACAGAGAAAGACAAATATCATATAATATCACTTATATGTGGATTCTGAAAAAAAGAGTACCAATGAACTTACTTACAAAACAGAAATAGAGTTACAGATGTAGAACACAAACTTATGGTTACCAAGGAGTCACAGATGTAGAAAACAAACTTATGGTTACCAAGGGAGGGATAAATCAGGAGACTGGGATTGACATATACACACTGCTATATATAAAACAGATGACTACTAAGGACCTACTGTAGAGCACAAGGAACTCACTCAGTACTCTGTAAAGACCTATATGGGAAAATAACCTAAAAAAGAGTGGATATATGTATAGGTATAACTGATTCACTTTACTGTATAACAGAAACTAACACAACATTTTAAATCAACTATATACTCCAATAAACATTTTTTTTAAATATATAAGGACTTAGAAATAGAGCCCCAGAGTACATGAAGCAAACTGAGATCTTTAAGAGGAGTACAGGAGAAGCAGCTCTGTCCTAAATATTTGACCCCCATGACTCACTAGGGTGCTTGATAGTCTAGCACTAAGGATTTATTCCTTTGAGTTAAAGTTTTCTCTCCTTTAGAGTTCTTTGTTAAAGTATCAATATGGCCCTGGACACCACTGGCATTAACGCCTTAGCTGAAATTGGTTTAAGGCCCTTTGGAGCAGTGACCACTCATGACAGAGACAAAGGGTTGAGCCATTTATGATGGAGGATGCAGACGCCGCCTGTGGGCCTGGGGGAGAGAAGGGGGGAGGGGACTCCAAGATTGGGCAGAGGTATGAACACCGGGGAAAGAGTACAGGGCGGGGAGAGTGGGAGAAAGTCGGGGTATCACAGAGGAACAGAAAAGACCCCAGAGGGGCTGTGAGGGGAAATAAGTGCGGGACGAGGAGCAAAGCGACAGGGCTGTCGGTGTGGTGATGGAGCTCGTGGTGGCCCCTCAGGGTGAAGGCAGCAGCAGACCCGGGAGAAGCCCAAGGAATCGGAATCGGGGAGCGAGCATGGGGCCAGGGATGCCGACGAGCACAGAGCATCCCTGGGTAAGCACCGGAACGGGCTGAGTCCGGGAGAACCACGGCAGGGAGGGAGAGTGGTGGGACGTGGGTCCGACTGGAGAACCAGGAAACCCGCAGGACAAAGACAGGCAGGGCCAAGAGGCAGTGCCGGACACAAGCTCAGAAGCCGGGGGGATGGGCTGGACAAGCAGGCGCACAAACGAGGTGGTGTCCGTGCAGTTCCCAGTTACGAGGACACTTAGTGTTAGCTGCTATGAAATCTGAAACTGAGGCAAGGCAAGGGGTCTGGGCAGAAACTCCACCTTGACCATGACCATAGCCCCTCCTTGTCAGCACCTATGTGCTCTGGGCACTTCACACGCACTGCCTCCCGTGATCCCTAAACATCCCTGTGAGGTAGACATGGAGACCTCCCGTCTACAGACAGACAGGAAACCTACTTAAGGGACTTGCTCAGGGTCATGCCAGCAGCAAGGGGGTGGAGCTAGGAGGCTTTTCTGACACACAGTGCTAGGCTCTGGGCCGGGCTGGCGGCCACTGGGGTTGTTTCAAAGGAATAGGGAGGGAAGGGGCAGCTGAGACCTAGGGACACAGAACTTCTGAGAGTCTCTCTGAGGTCCCTCTCTGCCATTTTTTTTTCAGGTGGGGTTGGAGAAGGAAGCAGCAGAGGCCTAACGACCCTTCCTGCCCCTCTTTCTGCCTGGATCTTTGAGGGTTCGTGGTGATTTACCCAACATGCCGGAAGGCCAGGCACTAGGGTAAGCCCACCCTGCTCGAAACCCAAGCCAGGGACTACTGTCTGGGTACACAGGCACCTGTGGGCTTAGGGAGCCCCGGCTACAGCCTGCTGGCCCCATGAGTCCCGTTGACATCTCTGTTTTTTGTCGGAAGTGGGAGAGCTTGTTCACTTTCTCCATGCTGCCCCCTCTCTTCCGCCTGCCCTCCACATGCACACACACAGACATTGGAGAGCCACTTCTGGGTGACCCATCCCACTAGTGAGACCATCAGCAGTGCCCTCTCTTAGGGAAAGGAGCTTCCTGTGGGTCCCTTCACACCTGGACTGGGGGCCAGCATAAGTCAGACACAAGCCCTCTGAACAGGAAGATCCTGAAACATGAAACAACCCACCCCTTATTTTACTGATGCGACGGGGGCCCGGGAGGGAGCAGGCTTACCCAAGGTCCTGGGCACCTCCTGGTGCCCAGTGCTGGCTTTTGTCCCCCACCTCTGTGGGCTCCCAGGGGCCTGCAAAGGCTGGACGAGAGAAAAAGTCTGCACGTGGCGGCTAGCGCTTGCTTGTGGCCCATGGGCTCTGACCCTGAGGCTGGTTTGGGAAAGAGGCCACAGGAATAACCTTGGGAGCTCTGGCCGGTGGCTTTCCCTCCCGCCCCGCGGTCGGGCTGGCTGTGTGCAGGTGTCGTGAATCATCTTCTTGGAGGCCCGTGGATACTTTCTGCTCTCTTCCTTCCTGCATGCCCCACCGCACATGGACATCACCCAATTTCCTACGGGGGGCCTGGGGCTAGCCCTAGAATGGTCATAGGCAGTGATATTTATGATCATTGCATCCAAACTCCCAGCCAGGGCAAGAGTGCCCTTGCCAACCCCCTGGACACCAGCCAGTGACGCTGGAGCGCTGCCAGGGGTTGGGACCTCACCACCTAGCGGACGGGCCCACACACGGGCCCAGATCAGTCCCCTCCATCCAAGTGCCCGTTGCCGGGGCCCTCACAGGGGTGCCAAGGCCGACAGCTACCCTCTGTTCACGCTCAGACCCCAGCAAAATGTCAACATCACAGCCACACTTTAAAAAGAAAATAGAGCCTTCTAGAAAAAAGTAACATAAAGTGAAATCAGTAACTACGGACCTGGTGTTGGGCCTCCCTGCCCGCCTGGCAATCTACCCTGTTAATCACCACGCACACATTTTGAAGAGCTATTTTGAGAAACATTTAGAAAATGGCTTTTACACAGCTATGTATACTTATTTATACCCTCAGACACGGCCTCTCTGTTTAGCAACAGATGGTTTTGTTGCCCTGGTTCTCTTTTCATCTCCTCCTCGAAGTCAAGCAGTTAGTAAGCCACTCCCTGACCCCAGGCGTACCTTTATTCCCACACTCCACCTTGGCGTCAGGGGTCTGGGTGGGCGGTGGGGAGCAAAGCCTGTGGTTTTTAGAAGGCATGGCTTCAGAGAACCCAAGGGGACAAATACTGGAGGCATGGTGGCTGCTGAGAGAGGAGGGGCCCGGAAGCTTGGGAAGGAGCAGGACCAGTGGGGGGAGAGGCTGGGACAGGATGCAGGTGCCCCAGTGTGCTTTTCTCAACACCCGCGGGCATCTCAACGTCCACGAAGCACCTGCCAAGGGTATCCCACTGCCATCCAGAGAACAGGCTCCAAGGCCAGACCAGCTGCCCCAGTGCTGTGTCTTTGGCCTACAGGAAGTAGCAAGTCTGCCTTGCTTAGTTGCCATGGCAACCTCAGTGCCGAGGCTCCTAAGGGCAGGGGGCGAGAAGGGAGGTGGGAAAGGCACGTGGTGGCTTCTCTGGAAAAGCCCATCTGTCGTTTCCCCAGGAAACCAAGCTGGGGGGAGAAACAAGAAAGGAATAGGCAACTGGGTCTAGACAGAGAAGGGGGAGAAAGACCCCAAGATGCTCCAAGAGCAGCTTTCCTGACGGGATGTGTTTTCCTTCCTTTGGGGTGGGGGACATCGCTGACAAGGATAAAGGTCTGGGTGGGCCCTGGTGAGGGCATCTGTGCAGGACGCAGGGTAGGCCCTGTGGCCTCAGGCCTGGGTGGGAGTCCTAGGGGACCCGTATCAGCCACAGCAGGCTTTCTTCTTGGCGGGGCGGTCAATCTGAATGGTGTCCTCCCTCACTGTGTCTTCTTGTTCCTTGAGGATCCTGGGAGAGGGGAAGGTAGAGTGTCAGCAGCAGAGAAGCTGCTAGGCACCTCAGGTTACAGACCATCTGGGTCATGAGGAGGGACCCACCCTCCCCAGAGCATCAGAGAGTCCTCCAAGTCTCCCCTGACGAGCACAGGTGCACGACTATAATTTGTAAAGCCAGAGTGTAGTCAATATGCGTCCTTCATAACACCTCCTCCAGGAAGTCTCCCCTGATGCGCTGATAGCATGTGGATCCTTTCTCCATTATAGCCCCATCACTGGGTGTAATGCACTGCTTCTGTCTGGCTCCCTCAGCAGAGAGTCAGGTGCTGATGGCAGAGACTGTACCTTTTGTCTCTGCAGAGCCTATCACAGTACCCAGCACACAGCAGAGGCTCAGAAATTATATCTATTTGTTATTAACTTTATGGCGGGGCTTCCCGCATGAGCACAGCTCCAGATTAACTATAAGAGGTGAAGGATTAAAAGTAGCCTTAAGTATCTTATCCCTGCTTTATACCTTCCAAGAGCTTTCACCTGAAGCATGTCTTCTGATTTTCACAACAACCCTTGAGTGGGCAGGGAAAATACGATGGCTGTTCCTATGCTGGGGGCAAAGCTCAGAAAGGCAGGGTGACTTGCCCCGGGAATCAGTGGCAGAGAAAACCCTAGAATTTTCCCCATAGCTCCCTATGTCTTCCATAACTCCAGCGCCTCTCCAGTGCATTGAAGAAGTTGTCCTGAGCTCTTAGTTACTCAAGTAAAAATATTTTTTAGATGCCCCAAGATGAAGGCTGAGTGCAAAATGAGCGCTAGTCAGTATTTGCCGGCTGTATGGATGGACAGATGGATGGAGGGATGGATGGATAGATGGATGGAGGGACAGATGGAGGGGTGGATGGATGCCTAGATGGATGAATGAGTGAATTGCCCAAGGATTGAAATGGGGCTTGTGTGGTTCTGTTTCTTTACTCTCAGTGTAGGCAGAGGCTTTCGGGACTGATCTTTTGAGTGCTGTCCTCTTGGGTGCCTCTGTGTCCCCCACCGCAGCCCCTCTCCTTGGGTCCCCCTCCCCCTCCCCCAGGAGCCCATAGTATAACCCAGCTGGCTGCCAACTAATCCCTGCTAAAATATTAGCCAGCATTGAGGGGCCTCTGATCTGACCTTTCCCAGGAGGATTTGCATTTAAATAGAGGATCCCTGGGAAAAAGGCAGGCTTTAAGGCTCAGAAGAAGACTGCAGTTGGGGGGCGGGCGGGGTGACAGGCAATGAGGCTTTCTCTTTGTCACTGTGTTTTGGAGGGCTGTCCCTCACCCCTGGGGTCCCACACAAAGGCCTAGGCCTCCAGCCGCTCTACCCAGATGGCTCAGATGGACAGAGGGACCGGCTGAGTGGTGTCTCTTTACCTGGCCAGATGGAGCACGGACTCTTGGGTGTTGTGACCGGAATAGGCACTGCATTCGTAGAAGATCAGGTTGTGCTCCTGGAATCAGAGAACAGAGGGCATGAAGGAGAATATGGGGGGGGGGGGGGGGAGGGAGCCATGGGGGGCGTGGGAGAATGCCCCTCTGCACTGACCACACCCTCACTTCCTTGTGTCGTCCCCTCCCCACTCTGTACCAGGTTGATTTCTGTCCCTCCTGCTCCCTGACTGATGCAGGCTCTGGAACTATCTCTCAGGGGAGCCGTAACAACTATAAAACAATAGGACCTACACTGCTGCCTTTGTGTTTTACACTTTCTGGAATTGCTGTCCGGGATGTACGGGCTCCTTTCTTTTCACACCAGCCTGTGATGCAGGCCGAGACACAGAGGCCAGGGTGGGCAACATCCGTCCCACTTTACAGGCAGGGAAACTGAGGCTCAGGAGGGTACGAATGGCAGTGGGCCTGTTCGGGCCACAGCGGGGCTCCCAGCAGCCTGCTTTCCGCACGACACGGGCACAGTTCATTCATACACCAGTTAATTAATACGCCGGCTGCCCGTGCCGTCCGCACTGGCGCCACGGGACAATTGTCCATCACTTTGGTAGGCAGAAGCTGGACTGTGAGAGTGGAGGTAGGGGTGCCATGGCCAAGGCCCATCTTATTCCACTCATCACTCCCATTAATAGGTTTCCTGCTTCCTTAATGACAATGCTAATGGCATCTGGCATGAGCCCTGGAGGCTGACGCCCTGGGGGGACGGGTAGCTGAGTGCAGACACTTCTGCGGTTGCAGATCAGGAGGCCCTGCGAACGCTGGCCCAGCTCCATCCTCTGCCTTCACCTGGTCTGGTCCCTGCACGCCTCGGTTGGGCCCTGACTCCCCTTCCATCTGTGGAAGGTTTAAGGCTCTGTGTGGGTGTGGGCAGCACGCAGGACCTAGAACTGGGAGACGTGATTTGCCTTCCAACTTCGAGTCCTGACCCCACCCCTGGGGCCGGGTGATAATTTGAATAAATCACTTAACTTCTCGGAGCCACAGGGTTTTTTTCCACTAGAAAGGAAGAGAGAAAGAGAGAAAGAGAGAAAGACAGAAAAAGAAAGAAAGAAAAGAAAAGAAAATGGGATGATAAACTAAAAACACAGGTCTGCAGTTCCTTAATCAAAAACCTTGGATCCAGATGTATTTTGGAATCCAGAATTTTTGAGTTTTAGAAAGTGAATACTTGTCTATAATACATATTATATAATAGCCTCTGTGGATCTGGGATAGCAGGCTATAATCAAATATATTAATAATTCTTCAGTGAAATATTTGAATATTTATTCAAAGTGAGGTAAACAAAACCCATAAATAGCCTCACATCGGTTCCGGTCAGGATTTTTCTGCCAAACGCAATGCAAAAACCTTTGTGCTCAGAGCTCCTTGGACTGGGAATTGTGGATGCAGCCCGTGGACATGCAGCTGTGGGACTTTCTTCTTCCTTTTTCCCTTGAGTTTCACCACCTGTGCCTGCCTTCCTAGCCTCTGAGGTCCTGAGTCCCTGTCTGGAGCAAAGCACACTGAGAATTATGGAATCCTGGGGCTGGGAAGCCCTATCTCCCCAGACACACAGTTCCCCGAAAACCACCCTGAGGCAGTAGAGGAAGCAAGGAGCGAGCATGGCTTTTGTTGCTGCCTGATTGCCATCACGCCACGACAGTTCCCTGCTTGGGCAAGAGGGTCGATGCTCATTTTAATGGCTGGCTTTGCAGTGCCCGCCCTGAATTTATCTGGAGTTTGCAGCTTGGACGCTCAGTCTCGGTAGGAAGGATGGATGCTCTAACAGAGCTGCCCAAGGAAGAGCACGCTGCCCGACAGGCAGTGAGTGTTTCATCCCTGAAGGCAACCAAGTAGGGAAACACAGATGATGGGATTCAAGGATCAGCTGGGGGGACTGAAATAAGTAAGCTCCTACTATCTGAGGATTCATAGTTCTGAGTTCCAAGGAAGAGAGTCTGGGAAATTCCCCACACCTGAGTCAAGTTCTCTGCGGAAACTTCCACGTGCGGCAGCTGGACCAGCCCCACGATGCCGGGACACCACCCAGCCCGCCTGCTGACTTCACAGGGGGCTCCCAGAGAAGGTTCCCACCCCAGCTCTGGGGTACATGCCCGACTCCCCTTGGGGTCCCTCCCTGTCCAGAGAGACGGGGATGCTCGCCCCTCACCTTGGCCAGCTGCTCTCCCAGGCCCCGTGGCACTTCCCGCTCCTTCTCGTTGTCAACTTTGTTGCCCAGCAGAAGAACGGGAATGCGGTCTCCCACAGCTTCCTGCGGAACAGATAATCCCCCAACTGAGAGAAGCATCCTTAAGGAGAACCGGGAAGGGCAGGTGGAAACACTGGCTGCAAAGACACAAACTAGCTTGCGAACCCCCTGCTGCCACAAAGGCTGGTGGTAGCAGAGTTACCCCAAAGCACAGAGGGGACCACCATCTCCCAGAGCCCCAGTTTGCCGGGCTTCTGCAAGGTGCTCAAGGCTGTCTCTGGGTGCCTCCCAGCCCTCTCAGTGCAGGGACCCCCCCTTTACCCCGCTCCCCGTGACCTGGCACTGGGAGCAGGATAGGGCACAGCTGGCGCTGGTACAATAGGTGTCCGTACGGAGCCCCCGAGGGCATCCCCAGGTGATCAGACTTGATCGATGTGACCAGAGTGAACAAGGAGTTGCTCAAGGGGCTTTTGAGGAGGCCCAGGGGCTGCACGGTCAGCAGTGTACCTCCTGCGGCCTTGAACTGGGCACGTAACTCCCCGAGGGCTGGGTCCACATCCGAGTCACGGTCTTGGGTCCACAGCACGTGATACATGACTGTCATGTGCCTCCCTGGAGGTCACCCCATGGGGACCCCTGTCCTGGGTGCCCTGGCTCTGAAGGAGCCCTGATCTGGAAGAACGGGAGCCACAGCAGTCGTACTTCATGGGCCAGAAGAACAGTTTTATTCCAGGGCTCAACCCTACTTACTCCTCCAGGGGCTGTGTCCTGTGTCATATCAGCCAGAGGCCTGCACCCCAGGGTCCCTGAACCCAGGGTCCCTGCACCCTAGGGTCTTTGCACCCCAGGGTCCCTGCACCCAGGGTCCCTACACCCAGGGTCCCTGCACCCTAGGGTCTTTGCACCCCAGGATCCCTGCATCCCAGGGTCCCTACATCCCAGGGTCCCTACACCCCAGGGTCCCTGCACCCCAGGGTCTTTGCACCCCAAGGGCCCAGGACGCATAGCTACTGAGTGAGTCAATATGGTAATGTTCACATTTACGCAGATTGTTATTTTTGCTTTGTGAGATATTTAATGAGGGGCTTTTAATCATAATTTGGTAATAAATAGTTATTCGCTGCAGCTCTGTGTCACTAAGTAGAGAAGGCCGTGGGACACCAGAAGCCTGCCGGTGGCTACTATCGCCAACAGTTCGTCTGCTTTACCCTAGACCCCGTCAAATAAATGTCCATGGTCCATCTGACAGGTCACCTGTTTTGGGTTTAAATAGCATCACATTCGAAATGAAGCCTCCGTGGTTCCTCAATCTACACATTTTTTTTTTTTTTTTTTTTTTACGCGGGTTCCTCACTCTTTTGTCTTTCCTGCTTCGGAGCACAGGCTCCGGACGCGCAGGCTCAGCGGCCATGGCTCACGGGCCCAGCCGCTCCGCGGCATGTGGGATCTTCCCGGACCGGGGCACGAACCCGCGTCCCCTGCATCGGCAGGCGGACTCTCAACCACTGCGCCACCAGGGAAGCCCTACACATTCATTTTTATTGTAGTTCAGTAGTGAAGAGCCTCTCACGTATTAAATGAGAATGTTAAAGCTCAGAGAATCCAAAGGAGCACCCAACGAAGTCAGCGTTCTGAGCACCCACCCTTTAGTGTACGGGGCCACCTTTCTCTAATCTTCGCTCTGAATTACTATTTCCAATGACCTCTCTGCTATTTAGTGTCTCATTAACCGGAACTCTCTAAAGGCAGTATTTCCACATATTCGTGGTGAGACGGTAATGAACACTCGTGACGATGACTCAGAGGCCCAAGATCTTACAGTGCCCCTCCGCAGTAGACTGACTTGTGCACATGGTGGTGGATGTGTTGGGTAGACTTGGCCATATTCCAGTTATCTGCAAGTAAGAAACCCACTGATGGCTACGTGCGTGGACCATAAGGCTCCCTCGTAACCGGACTGCGGGTACTGGGAATACCCCGCTCCCCACCTGTGCTGTGCCACAGAAACTTGCGTGAAGAGTTTTTCACAGAAAAGGAAGAAAAGGGGAAGAATCAGGAATGTGGGCCAGAAGACTTGCTATTTGCAGCACACGCGCGAGAGAGATATTTGTAGATTGATGTGTGAGGAATGACTAAGGCTGGTGGGATTTCTTGACATGGAAATGCTCTGAAAATAAGAGCATCAGACTTGAAATCCCAGGGTGGGATTCTAGCCTGGAACCTGGTATTACTTGTTACAGGCGATGGCTTGTTCCTCCCTTGTAAAGGGGATGCCAGGTCCTGAACGACCAAATAGGATGAGGTAGGAACAGTCAGCCCAGCATCTGGGCCCCGCACCATGAGCAGCCGGGCTGCCTCTTGGAAAAGGAGAGGCAGTCTTCCTTCCTAAAGTGCTTCCTGGCTAAGAAAATAAAAATAAAAGAGCTTAGAAGGAGCAGGAAAAAAAAGCCCAGACCCCAGCTGGAGCGGTAGTTTTCTGCCCTTTGCAATGTTCCCCTCTTACACAAACTCTCTGGACCCCTCGTTTCCCCTCCCAGGGCCCTGGTCTGTGCTGATGTAGGAGAATCAGGCCTATCTCCAAAGACGTGGCAAAAATAAGTGAGAACACACATAAGGCCAGGGCGTGCATGTGCTACCCACTGCAGGCAGCGAGGCACCCTCACCCCGGCCCCAGGTCACCCTTCGACACAGGAGGCACTGGGGCTGGGCTGGGGGCTTCATGGTCCTCTCCGACTTGAACCTCGAGACGTGAGCTTTTTGCCCACACTTTACATCATTCACCTACTTAACGAGGGTGTTGGCCTGTCCGCTGCTTGGACAAAGGGGCTCATAATTATCCACCAGATGAAGCCACACTTACTTTTAAAAGTCCAAAGGCACCTCCTTTGGTGACTAAGTCTAAGGCCACCCAATGTCTGTAGACAATTTTTTTTTTTTTTTTTTTTTGGGTAGGCGGGCCTCTCCCTTTTTTGGCCTCTCCCGTTGCAGAGCACAGGCTCCGGACGCGCAGGCTCAGCGGCCATGGCTCACGGGCACAGCCGCTCCGCGGCATGTGGGATCCTCCCGGACCGGGGCACGAACCCGCGTCCCCTGCATCGGCAGGCGGACTCCCAACCACTGCGCCACCAGGGAAGCCCTGTAGACATTTTTATAGATGTTGCTGAAGTCCCATGGGCACACCAGGTCAGAGGGACAGGTCTGAGGGCAGCTCCCGGGCTGGGCACAGGCTCTGTGCAGGAGGCCCAGGCTCTGTCTGGCTCTGCCACGTCTCTCCGTGGGACCCACCCGGATCCCTCCTCTCTTCCCTCCCTCTTCCCTGAGCTGTGAGGTGGGCTCCAGAGCTGGTCTGACACACAAGCAAGCCTCTCCACCTTCCACCACTTCAGTTGCCTTTCTCTGAACTTGAACTTCGTGGAAGACAGACTTGCTGAAATTCAAAAGATTCCCCGTCTCTGACTTTGGCTTACAGAAGCTGTCAACTCAGAGCAAGGGCTGGCTTTCAGCTCAGGACGTGCAGCTGTTGCATTTGGTTGGTTGCTGTGCGTGCGTGCGTGTGTGCGCGTGTGTGTGCGCGTGTGCGTGTGTGTTAACATCTATTTTTTAGGAGGCAAGAAAAAGCACTTAGTGCTATTTCTCCAGAGGCAAAACAAAAAAATTTCTCAGCACATTAAAGCATGCATTTATGCTCAGAAGAAAATGACTGCAAAATTATATATTGGGGGTTTCCATATTTATCCGCCCCCCCGGACGATGAGTCAAAACAAGATTTATTTGCGTAGTTCGTTCTCACCCGCCAGCACTTTGAGCTCAGCTCGGAACGTGGCGAAAAGAAAAATGAAACGCTGTTTTTTGCCGTGTGCTGTACCTTGTCAGCGGTGGCAGAGATCACAGAGCGAGAGCTAGTCAGCCGTCCAGGAAGGGAGAGGAAAGCTGCAGAGCTATAAAACAAGAGGCTACGGGAGATTAATCTCCATGGTTTTTTTCTGGCTCAGAGGCACTGGTCTTGCTGGTTGATGACTTGGGTCAGATGCCACTTCCTTGATGTACAGGCCTAACAGGACAGTGCTCCTGAGGATGACAGAAAGATCCAGACGAGAAGTTAACACGCCAGGACTGCAGACATTGCGGACCAAACATCTGGATTCGGGAGGAATACCAGCCCATCGGGCTTGTACCATATCCTATCTTCTCTACCTGACACAGGCCCCAAAGTCTTCAGATGTCCAGGGTGCCTCACGGTCTAAACATGGGGCCCTTAGAGCCTGACGGTCTAAACATGGGGCCCTTGGTTTCTCCTCTAGATTGGACTGGTTAAACCAGCACCGCGGAGCCGAGGTGTGGTGGTCAGGAGGGTGGGGGATGCTGAGTCGGTAGGAAGGTCTAACTGCTTTGATTCCCTGGACGTGCACAGGAAAGCTAAATGGTGGGAGAATCAGCACAGAGCATGTGCGGGCCCCGCTTGGGTCTTTCCTGCAGGAGACCTGCGGGCCAGGTAAAGGTGCTGAGGTGGGAGAGGAGGGGTTGTGGGGCAGGACACCTCATAAGGCAGAACAGTCGCCCCTTCTCTTGTGCCCAAGGCATTCGGTTCCCTCTGGGCTGGCAGGGTTCTCCCATCCACACACACACCTGCTCCATCCCGGCCCCCCAGAGAGTCGAGTGCCAGACCCTATAGAGCGCGGGGGCCAGGAGGAACCTTCCAGACCCTCTGGTCCACCCCTCCATGGAGTGACTGGCCCACGTTTCACGGCCAGGCGGTGGCTGGGCTGAGACGATGAGAATGTCCTTTGCAGGGAACTCCACGCCTCCCCAGCCGCTGTTCCTGCCCGTCGCAACCTAGGAGTCAGTTTTTGCCGTGTATAATCCGTGGCAATGTCAGCCCTTTCCTTGGGTACGGCTTTTCAGGTTGATGGGGGAAGGGGCGCTGGGAACAGCTGGCCACCATTCACTTAATAATAAGGCTTCTGAACCCAAAGCCTGTTATTAAAGCTCCCCCTCCACCCTCCCTTCTCCTGGCAAGGGGCTGGCGAAGCGCTGGGAGTGCTACGGAAATTCAAGGTGTGCCACAAACATCAAGGGCTGATTATTTTCAGTTCCCCTCCGATCCAATTAGGTGTCAAGTTTTAATCTACCACCTGACGTCTCTGATGGCTGGTTGCCAAGGCAGAACGACTTAGCTTTTCAAGAGTCTTGAGAACAACTGCATTTATGACGCCATGGGTCCATATCCTCAACACACAACCCCACCTGACAGCCTCCAGCCCCTGCTCGCAGAACCCTGGGGCTGCTGCACCGGTGCATCACACTGAGTCCTCCAGAGCGCGTGGCGCAGGCTGGGTATGTGGGTTGTGCCCCGCAAATTACAAACATCTTTGAAAAGGATTTAGAATCTTGCTTCTCAAAGTGTGGTCCCTGGACCAGCAGCGCTGGCTTGTTAGAACTTGTTAGAAATGCAGCATCTCAGGCCCCAGCCCGCACCTGCTGACCCAGGCCCTGTATTTTAACCAGGTCTCCAGGAGATGCTTCATGCATATTAGAGTTTGAGAAGCACTTGTTTAGGCTGGAATCCATGGTGGCTGAGAAACAAAACCACCTGGGGGACTTTTGCTGTTTTTGTTTTTTGTGTGTTTTGCATTTCCGGGACCTGAATCGTTCTCTTTGGGCCCTGGTGTCTGTTTTGTTCGAAAGCTTCACAAGTGATCCTGATGTCCATCTAAGTTTGGAATCATCATTTAAAATTTACCGGTACCTTCTGCTAAAATTTTAAAGCAGGAAAACGCAAACTACAAAGTATACAGAGAAGCGCCGTCCACATAGGGATAATTCTGAGTTAACCACAGGTGGATCTGCCATCTCAGCTCAGCTTCCACTGGGGAGTGGCTTTGGCGGGGTGCGTGCCGGTGAAGCTTCCCAGCTCTACCCCGGGCAGGAACAGGCCAGCCACGCAGTGCTCGACCCAGCTTTCTGCAGAATGGCCAAGCTCATGCTTCAAGCTGCAACGATGACCCTCTGACATTTCTTCACCTCCACCACCACCTTCCAATTCAACCAGACGTTCCACTTCCTGGCTAGATCCCAGGCTCTCTGCACAACAGGGGCCTTAGAAACTACAGCCCCCCCTACTAAGGGCAGAAAGTGTAGTTCTGTAAGCTTCTCTCCATCCATCCCTACTAAGCCCAGACTACCTGCATTGCCTCTTCCCAGCTCTAGTGCACGGCTGCCCCTCCCTATCTGCAAGGGATTGGTTCCAGGACCCCCGCGGGTAGCAAAATCCACGGATGCTCAGGCCCCTTATATAAAATGGCGAGGTACAGTCAGCCCCCAGCCCGGAATCTGCAGGTTCCGCGTCCTCGGGTTCAGTGCACGTGGAAACCCCACTGTGCATTTATCAAAATTTAGATAACGGGGAACGATTAAATGTCTGTGGCTGGGAAAAGAACAGGAGACCTTGATCAGGTCATGGCCTCAATTTCTTCATCTGGAATGAGATGGCTGTATTATGTCAGTGATTTTCAGAGGGAAACCCTCTTGTCTAACAAAATTGTGGCTGAGCTTCCACTAAGCAAAACTGAAAGTCATAGAGGGGTTCTGAGGTGGGGGGAGAAGGCCCAGACCTGTGACGACCACCCTTCCCTGCCTGTCTCTGGCTGTGAGAAAGGTCAGCCTGGTTCCGGGGCTCCAAGGAGGAAAGTTTCAAAACCACTGGGTTAGGTCATCCCTGAAGTCTCTCCTGGTGCTTAACTTCCGCGAGGAAGAGAAATCTGCTGGTGCTATCAAAAATCATGTCATAGGGCTTCCCTGGTGGCGCAGTGGTTGAGAGTCCGCCTGCCGATGCAGCGGACACGGGTTCGTGCCCCGGTCTGGGAGGATCCCACGTGCCACGGAGCGGCTGGGCCCGTGAGCCATGGCCGCTGAGACTGCGCGTCCGGAGCCTGTGCTCCACAACCGGAGAGGCCACAACAGTGAGAGGCCCGCGTACCACAAAAAAAAAAAAAAAAAAATCATGTCATAAATTACAAAGTTTAAAGAGGGTTCACTTCCGGATCACCCCACCATCTGTCTCCACTCTTAGCTCGGTATAGAGCCATTCACTACATTTCCAAACGTACATTTTCTCTATTGTGTTTTAGACGCAATAATTTTGAAAAATAATTTGTATTATCGAGCAAATTTCTGAGAAACTCTTGCATCTGGCTTCCATTCTTGCTCCTCATTTTTCTTGGTAACGACAAGGATGTAGATTAACAGGAGAGAAAGGGTGGCCCATCCAATCCAAACTTCAAGAGAAACAGATTTTGGTGCGAGGAAGCACAGATCTTAGGGTGGAAACCAATGAAATGAACAACCCCCGTATCCTGCCTGCACGGTGACACGGCACCCATGCACGCGTCCAACATCTGCCCAGCACTGTGGGACCTGAATACCGGTCACGATGACAAAGCTGTGCAGAGGGCGGGGCCGGGCTGGCAGCTGTGCCCTGGGCAGCAGGGTGGCAGCCTCACTGATGAACAGGTAAGGGGCTGGGCAAGGGCCGCGGGCTTGAGCAGAGGGTTGGACATAAGCTCCAGGGGGAGAGCTTGAGCAGAGGGTTGAACACAAGCTCCAGGGGGAGAGGAACACTGTCTCTTTTATCTGGTGCTACAATGCCCGGACCCCAGAACAATGCCTGGCAGCGTTTAGAACAAATAAACGAACAAAGCATGGGTCCTGCTGATGGAAGGAGCTGGGGCCATTTGACTGTCTGTGAAAGAATCGGGAGGGAGGGGGCCTGTAAAAAATACTAAGTGGCTTGGCACACTGCCCTTGGCCTTGAGACATCTGCATTCAGTGGCAGAGAAGGACATGCAGGTGGTCGGGAAGTAAAAAGCGCTTACAAAGCAGCATGTTGCAAGGATAACAGCGAGAAAGCAGAGTCTTACAGAGAATCCAGAATTCAAGGAAGAGCCCCGTGTCTCGAGGGCCCGGCCTGAGATGACTCTGGGGTGAGCCTGGGTCCCGCACATTGCAGATCAGCCTCCCCTCCTCGTGCGAAGGGCTGTGACCCAGGCCCCCAAACCGTGAGCACGACGGTCCTGGGCTGGTCACGGCGGGACCCCCTGAAGCTAGAAAAATGCAGGAGAGGCGGTGGTGACTCAGTTTAAACACCTTGGGACCCCATCCATCCTTGACACTTGACACTCCCTCCCCTAATCCTACCCCACTTTTCACAATCTTAATGACACCATTATTGGCTTAATCGGTATTTGTCCTGTGTCCTTCCCCCAGCCCCCTCCCCCCATGAGGGCAGGGACCGCACCTCTCATGTTCACCTTTGGGTCCCCAGTAACCAGCCTGGGGCCGGGCACTTGGGTGGACTGACGCATGGACGCCTGAACTGGTTTTTTCCCGGAGAAGGTGGGGTGTGAGTCAGGTGTCCAGAGAGGGCAGCAGGCCCAGGAAGAGGGGCCGCCCGTAGGCCCCCAGCTCACCTCCACGCTGCTCAGCCACGGCCGCACGGCCAGGAAGGACTGCCTGGCTGTGAGATCATACATGACCACGACGCCGTCGGCCTTGCGGAAGAACTGCTGGGTGATGCAGCGATACCTGCGCAAAGGGCCGGGTCAGGTGCGCGGCCTCTTCTGCCGCCACAGCCCGCCCCCGCGGGGAGAGGAGAGGCGGGGTTACCTGGGGGGCGGGGGGGGGGGGGATCCTCACCTCTCCTGCCCCGCCGTGTCCCACAGCTGCAGGGCCACCCGCGAGTCGTCCACACGCACGGTCTTCATGCGGTAATCGATGCCTGTGGGGGGAGCCCAGCATCAGGTCCAAGTCCGGAACCCACGCCCCAGCCCGGAATCCCATCAGCCCGAGGGCGCGGCCCTCGCCCTGCAGCTCCTGACACGTGGTGTGCGCCGGGACAGAGCATTGGACCGGGAGGCCCGGGACCTGGCTCCTGGTCCTGTCTCTGCCACTGACCGGCTGTGGGACCTTGATCCAGTCACGGAACCTTTCTGAACCGCAGGCTACTCACTGCAGTGTAATCCAGACCCTCTTTAGGGATCGAATGAGATCACATATGGAAAAGCAATCTACCAACGGAAAGAATTATCATTTACTCCCTCCTTGGGAAGATGAAGCGACAGAAAGACTGTCCTCAGATTCCTTCCTCACTCCCTCCCTTTTCTTCTTTCTCCTTAAAATGCTTTTCAAAGTTCCCACAGTAAAATCCGAATATCCCTGGGGGATGGATCACACTTCCAGACTCCCACTGTGGTGATGCAAAGGTAGGTGGGGGAGGAGGGGCGAGAGGGGAGGGCTTGACAGGTGGAGGGAGGGACAGAAGAGAAGGAAAGCGGTGGGGGCGGGAATCAGAGGCAAAGCCCCCTTAGAGATGGAATCAGAGCTCCTAATCCCAGCCATCAAGCCACTTGCAATCCTCCCTCTGAGGCTGTGACCCTACCTGGAGTCATGGATCCCAGAGAGAGGGTGCAGGGCAGGCAGATCCCACAGCAGCCCTCAGACAGAGGACCTAAATGCAGGTGCTTTGATAACAAACATTCCTCCCTCCTACACCCTGTGAGAATGTTCACAGATGCTCAACCAGGTTTAAAACGCTTTTCCCCCTTAAGGCATCAGATCTTGGAACCAGAGGGCATCCCCTCCCAACCTCTAAAAGGCCCAGCCTCTGGGGTCCTTACTCTGGAGGGCTCAGGTAGGGACAGCAACAGCAGCCTGGCCAGACAGAGACAGACAGACAGACTGACAGACAGACAACCAAGAGGCAGTTGATGGAAAAGGGCATCCCTGCCACGGTCTCCAGGCAAAGGCGAGTGTGTGAGGGGCCGGGCAGGGGAGGAGAGATGGGAGGGTCATCCGCTCCTAGAATGTTAGCAGGACTGCAGAGGCCCTGGGCTCACAGAAGAGAGTCGGAGAGAGGATGCGCGTGTCTGGGTGAGGAAAAGAGGGACGTGTCCCATTGGTAGAATGCTTGGCATCCCCAGTTTCCATGTGCCACCTCTCCCTCTTCACCGCGCTCCCCTGAGACATCCATGTGCGGGTTGCTATCTGCACACACATGCACACACACACACGTACCCATCCTCACACGTGCACACACGTGCACCCCTCTGCTCTTCCCAAACCATAGGAGGATAAAGAAGCAGGAGCCCAGCCTTGCCCGAGCTGGTCAGCAGCCTCAGTGAGTTGCAAACCCAGTTCTGAGGCTCATTCCTCTTTTCATGGCAGTACCCTGGGCACGGGGTCCCTGGCAGCTCCGTTTCACCTAGAAAGTCCAAGGCTAAATGCTCCCATCAGAACAGATGGAAACCAAACCCAAGGGTGTTTTCTTAGCTAAAGCAGTAGGGCTTCCCCCATCTGTGCTCTGGGAGGCCAGGGGGCTGCCCACAGCCTGATAACAACCCATGGGAAAGCCAGCCTCAGTCATCACACCTTCGGGGCCTGATCTGAAGCCCCCGAGGATGAGCCCTCTCTCTGATGGAAAGGCAGGTGGTGGAGGGACGGCTGGGTCCCTCGACCTCACTGGTAATCGCTCTGCTGGTGGACGGGGAGCTTGGCGAGTGTCCGCTGGTCCACGAGGTACCCCTCTCTGCAGCCTCAGACCCGCAGGCCGGGAAGTAGACGAACAAGCCCAAGGGATGAGTGGGGTTTGGGGGGACACGGGGTGTCAGCGTCCAGCAGGTTGCACAGAGTGACGAGGGACCAGAGGGATTTCTGAGACCGCCTCCCTCCCCCGCACCCGTTCCAACGGTCCGGGAGCCCAGACCTCATGTTCCTGCCTCAGTCCTGCCTCTGACCAGCTGTGTGACCTGGACGATGTGACTTCCCCCCATCTGGGAGGCTTCGCTTTCCCCATCTGTAAACTGAGGTGTGACAGGGGTGCTGGAGGGGAGTTGGGTGTCCATGATTTTACGTCCAGCTGTAGCGTTCGGCAAACACGTGGAGGTGACCCCCGACTTGCAACCTCAGTGGTTCCTGAATGAGGACTGGACCTTGGGGGCCCCGTCACCGTGGAGTGTGCTGTGTGTGGGATGTGTGGGTCAGAGCTGTGGGTGATGGACCCCAGGAAGGGCGTCCTTTCTGGACAGGACAGGTCATTCCAAGCAAGAGGGCTTGGGAGCGGGGAGTGCCAGCGAGCTGTCCCAGAGGGGAAGCTCTCGGGATTTCTCTGTGGAGTTGAGGAGAGGGATGGCAACGGACTGGTGCCCAGGAGAGGGCAGAAGAAACACCTTGGGCCATGGGCCCTGGTTTAAAGCAGGGCCATGAACCAAGGCGGGGCCTCGGGAAGAGCTCTGGACTCAGAGTCCTGGGTTCTAGAGCCTTAGCCTCTAACAGTCAGTCTTCTCATTGACAAAATGAGCTCCAACGTTCTGCAAGAACCGTCGTTTGACGTCTCCAGGACACCCGCAGGGCCCACCCACCTGCTTTACAAGGGATCCGCTGGTGCTAAGGTGGGGAAGGCAGGGGCGCCCCAAGACAGACTGTTGCATCATGGAAGCCACTTCACGCACAAGCCGGAGGTCGAGGACAGGTCACGTGCTCATGAGGGGCTGTCCCTTCGGTGATGGAGGAGAGCTTTAAGGCACCACCGCGCCCCTGTTGGTGCTGTGCTGAGGGTCCAGGGCTGCTGTGCTCGACAGGGGTTGGCCTGCTTGAGCCCCGGGAGCCCAGGACTCGGTGGCTCATCTGTGTCTTTAAAGGGAGCATCTTCCAGGCGACTGGTGTGACATCAGCGCCCTGACACGTGTGCCGGGGAGGCTAATTCCAGCTGCTACTCTGGCTCGTTTTGCACAGCTCGATGAAGGGCGTCCCAGATTTGGAGACTTTGATATTTTTCCCCTTCCTAAATTGTAGGTGTTTCCATAATTGGCCTCCTGGGGAGTGCGAATTAGTCTGATTTTCTCTTTTTCAGAGCTTTCCATCTCGGGGGCATCAGTTGGAGGTGTAAGCAGACCCCGATTCCCTGATTTTACCAACGGGAGAGGCAGCAGGTGCACTGCCGGAGGGCCGCCCCTGGGGGTGCGGCATCCCTCCCCTGCTCCCACAGCCTATGCCCGAGCTGTGACCTCAGGTTCTGTGGCCACCCCATGGAACTCTCCAGGGAGGGCCAGTGCAGCTCTGCAGCCGCTGTTTCCTGTGTCGCCACACTCGGCACACGGGGGTCACTCCTAGCCATCCCTTCCGGCCGCATGAGGCCAGGCTCTTCTGAGCCGTCTTCCCATCAGAGTCCGGATTCTTCACCGTGGGATGCACCCATTCTCTGGGTGGAATGGGGCGGGGTGTGGGGCAGGAGGGGGCTCCGGATTTGGAAACTGCAGAGGCTCAGCAGTAAGAACAGGGCGCCTACAGTCGTGGGAAGAGACCCATCTGTAGGAAGAAAGTTGGAAGGAATGGCCCGTTCAGGTTATCCTGGAGGAAGAGACCAGACTCTCCCCAGGCAGGCTCTGGGGCAGGAAAGTTTGTCTCGGATTGTCTTGGAGGGCCAGCTTGTGAGACCTCCAGGGGTCAGAGGTGGTCTGGACAGAGCCCTGGGCTTGGAAGCAGTCTTGGCTGGCCCGGTTCAAATCTCTCATTTTTTTCAGGTGAGGAAAGACTGAAGCCGAAAAGGAAACACCTCCTCCCGAGGTCACACAGCTGGTCGGTGGCAGAGCTGAGATGAAGGCCCGGGACCTCCGATGCCCCATTGGACCTTAGCGGCCTCCCCTGCCTGTGCTAGCCTCTGCCCGCCGCCTGTGGCAGAAGCTGGGCTCTGAGCACGCACAGCACAATATTGTTAGGGAGGCAGTGGGCTGGGACAGCAGAGGTGCATGTGGGGTTGCGGGGGGACCAGTATCAGCACGGCCAGCTGGTGGGAATGAGGACCCGTCTCTGGGCCTCAGCGTCTTGGTCTGTCCATTGGGCTGATAGCAGTGCCTGCCTTTCAGGGTTGTTGGGAAGACAGATGGAAATGATAAATATCAAAACCCATGGTAAATATTCAGATCATATCAATGTATTCTTGTTAGTTCGTTTGTTTGGTTTTTTTTTTTTTTTGCGGTACACGGGCCTCTCACTGTTGTGGCCTCTCCCGTTGCGGAGCACAGGCTCCGGACGTGCAGGCTCAGCGGCCATGGCTCACGGGTCCAGCCGCTCTGTGGAGTGTGGGATCTTCCCAGACCGGGGCACGAACCCGTGTCCCCTGCATCGGCAGGCGGACTCTCAGCCACTGCGCCACCAGGGAAGCCCGCAGTGTATTTTTAATATAGTTGACTTAGCGTGGTTAAATGGCACATAGAAGGCACCCAAAGGATTCATTTTTTTTGCTCGAGTGATTCACCTGGGGAGAAACTAAAAGGTCAATATGCCCTTGCGTCTTCCCACATACTCCAATGCAAGGAGCACCTCTGGGTGAAGGGGCAAAGGCTCCTATCTAAATGCAGAATTACCCGAGATAATAATGGAGGCGCACGAAGCCCTGGTCAGCTATTAGTAGCTGAGCTTAACGAGTGTCTACAGTGGACTCCAGCTGTTACCCAGCATGCCCGGGATGCAAGATGAGGAAATTTGATGGGTAAAAGAAGCCCCCAGAGCACTGTCCTCCATCCTGCCCGTCTATACAAGTGTGCATGCATGCGCGCGCACACACACACACATACACACACACACACACACACACACACACACACACAGAAAGTGGGGAAGGGATGATTGAAGACAGACAGGCTCAGAGAGGGGACAAAGGGCCGGAAGTCCATCTGTGCCAACTTCAGAGCCCCTCATCTTGGGCATAGGAACCGTTCGTGGTCCCATAGCCGTGGAGCACCAGGCAGAGGGGGGCCTCGCCTACCAGCCCAGCCCTCAGCCCCTCCTACGGGTCTCCAAGTCCCTCCCTGGGCACCCTTCTCACAGCCGCCCCTTGCCAGAGGTGGGCTGGGATGCAGCCCAGGGCCGAGAACTCACCCATGGTGGCTGCTGAACCCGGGGAGAACTTGCCGTCGCAGAACCGGCTCAGGAAGGACGTCTTCCCCACGGAGGAATTGCCCACAAACACGATCTTGAAGAGCCGGTCTGGGGTGGACACAGAGCCTTCCTCCTGTGGAAGACAGACAGCAGGGTCAAATGCTGGGACGGCCGCCTGCCACCCCTGCCCCTGACCTGTCCCTGCGGTGTCCAGGGAGGGACCCGCAACCAGCACCGGGGAGGCTGCTCGGGCCTTGGATGCAGGAAGCTTCGGGCTCAGCGCACCAAGGCTCCTTCCAGCTTCAGCAGTGGGAAGAGAGACTTTCATTCCACCACCACTGCTGCCCACGTGCTGCGCCGCAGGCCCTGCGCTGGGCTGGGCATGTGGTGCAGGGAAGGCAGCCACGTGTACACATAGTCACGGCACGATGTTCCGAGTGCCCAGAGCACGGACCAGGAATCAAGGGTCTCGGGGTGCAGGGGCGCTCTGGGCTGGGCCTTAAGGAGAAAGCAGAGATTCTCTGCAGGGGCTGGGTGGGGAGGACAAGGTGGAGTGCTTGAAGGGGAAGGGGAGATATAGAAGATATAGAAGGCTTATCTATAACTCAGGGGCAGAGGCATCCCAGGCTGGGGTCGGGCCTCTCGTTTCTGCCCCGTCACTGAAAACCTGGACCGGATGGAAGACACGCTCGCCTCCCTGCATGCTGCCCTTCTGTCCCAGCTCACCTTCCATCTAGGGTCCCTGTCTGCCCTGGAAATAAGGCAAGACAGTCTCCACTCAGTAGCTTGGGAAATCCCAAGATGCCAGGCTACGGGAAGAACTTTCCAGAACACAGTCATGGTGGTCCTTCTCCACCCGGCAGCGGGACAGACTGGGAACTGGCCTGCCTGTTACTCTGGTGTGTACGGCCCAGCGGGAAGTGGACTTGCTCCAGGATGCTGGGTGAGTGAGAGGCAGAGTGAGGACCGGCACAGGGCCCTTCCTCCGAATGGTCATTAAGTCCAGAGAGCCGCGTGCTCCCCCAGCACTGCCAGGCCAGATGGGGAGGCTTTTTAGAATCTATGTGGAAGTGGATTTGGGGGATTAGCTCCTCTCACCGAGCAAATACTATAGCAGAGTAGCCACAGATATTAGCAGTACTTGAATTTCAGAGAAAAGCCATTAACAGCCTTTGGGGGAGAAATCAATTCCATGCTGTACTTAGGAGGGAATTCAAGGTCAATTACAGAAACTTAAACCCAACTTTAAAAAAAAAAAAAAAAGAGAGAAACCCACACTCAGAAACGCTGCCCTGGCCCCAGTTTCCTTATTCCTGCAATGCACAAGCATCACTCTGCCAGGATCGTGCTCCATTTGTCCTTTGCTTGAGACCAAAGCTCAGTGCAGCCATTGGCCCACCCCAGGCCCAGGGACGGTGGGAGGAGATGGTCTTGGCTGCAGAGGCGGTGGCTGACCTTCTCTGTGCTCCCCTCACCCTGGCCCCCGCCTGCGGCAGGACACTTATTCCGCAGACAGGATACGATCAACCCGGTGATGGTTCAGTTTGGGGAAGGACCCACCTCACAGGAGCAGCGAAGCTATTCCAGTTCTTGCCCTTAACCTGGGGGACAATCCACCTGCCCGCGAACAACAGTGAGACAACAAAATTGGGGGGAGGGGCTGGAGAAAGGCTCCCTCCACTGGCAAGTCAGGGAATCTGTTCCCATTCTCCTTCCCACCACTGTTTTTATTTTTTTAAAGCTTTAAAAAATGAAAGTAATACATACTAATTTCTAAAATTAGGAAACTTAGCAGAGAGGAAATTAATGACTATTCATAATTTACCCCCCAACCCTGAAATGGTCACTATTCCTATTTGGATACATTTCTTCCAGGCTTCTTTTTCTACATAGATGAATCAATATATGTTTTTTTGAGAGAAATTTGAGATACTATGTATACTTTATTTATATTATTATATATAATATAAATTTATGTATAAGTTTCTATTTGTTCCTATGTTACTGAATTATATATAAATATTTCTGAGTCACTGAAGTTTTCCAAAAATGTGATTTTTAATAGCACTATAACATTCTATTAAATTAATATAGTCTAATTTATGTCCCTATTGTTGTTTTTTCAATTATTTGCTCTTATGCACTTACATTCTTGGATTAAATTTTTGTCTGATTTTGGTTATTTCCTTAGGAAAGGTTGCTAGAAGTAGGAGGGCTGGTTCAAAGGAGGTGGACTTTTAAAGTTCTTGATTCCTATTATCAAACTACTTTCCCGAAAGCTGGTACCAATTGATGGCTCAGCGGCCTTGCAAGGGACCCTCTGTTGAGGCTGCTGTGTGACTGACTTCCAGCAGACACACTTCCTCTCTGCTGCAGTTTCTGTCCCAGCTAAACAGCAGCGCATCCCGGTGCAGCCGGTGGGGATGCAGAGCGGTGGGTGCGAAGGCTGGGCTCCCCTCACTGCGGGCTGGGTGGGCCTCCTCGCTCTGTGCTCTACTTCCCCACCCGCCTAAGGGGAGAACAGATCTCTGATGCTCGTCATCCAACAACCGCAAGGACCAGCTGCCATGGCAGACACGGACGCTCAGCCTCTTCCTTCACCCCGTCTCCCGTGGCCCTCTTAACACTTCTTTCACATTTGGGGGGCTCTCGTGGGGTATTTAAAGCCCCATTTGTGCCCACTGCCAGCAAGTGTAGTCTGTCCACTTTTGGGGATGTAGAAGGGGGTGTAGGGGGGCTGCCCCACCCACCAAGGGCCCTTCAGAGGAGTGGTTTGTAGGCATGAATCTTAATCCAGGCCCAAGAATGATAACCGAGGCCAAGAAGTCCCCGTGCAGGGGCTGGAGAGGGCTTGCTGGCACGCACGCCAACGCCTCACTCGGACCGCTCAGCTCTGAAGGCCGCCACAGGGTGAGGGAACTGTTCTAGAGGATCCAGTGGCGGGCAGGGGGAGGGCTGAGGGGCCAGTTCCAAGGCCTGGGTCACAAACAAGGTAAGGAGTATCACTTGTGATCCAGAGGAGGACGGTCCACGAGGCCCCCTTCTCCCGGGGAACACAGCGGGAGAGCTGGTGGGGGGCGCGGGGATGGAGGGTGGGAGTGCAGCGTCACACTGCCGGGAGGGCCGAGCTCATTAGGAACCGAGAGAAAAGCGATGGTGCGCAGACTTCCCCCGCAGGGACTGGCCTGCAGGGGGCGGTTACAGAACGGACCAGAAGAGGTACCCTTTTTAAAGCGTGTGATAGCTGACGCTAATTGCCCAGCAGAGGCTCGGTCCTACTCTATAAATGCAGAATCTGAATCAGAAAAAAACACATAGGGGCCAACAACAGAAGTTGTTAGGAGAGTGTCCCCAGAGCCCCGAGTCTCCATCATGACACTCGGCAGAGTGGAGAAGGGTGGTGCCCGAGGGACACAAACTTGGTGCATCACCAGGCCTGCTGAGTCTGGCTTCCTGAGTGGCCTTGGGGCTCTTGGGCTCACACTCGAGGGACAAGGCACAGGGTGACCTACAAGCCAGTGAGGGATGCACCCTTACCTTAGACGGGGTCTCTTTTCCGACAGGCTGCCCTTGGGGAGACGCAGGCATGAGGTCCAGAGGTCGGGACGGCCCGATTTGTCCCTCCGCCCCCCGGTCGGAGGCCTCCCCTTCTTCCGGGCATTGGCCCAGTGGCTGCTCAGAGCCGCCCCCCAGCAGCTGGGGCAGCGGGTCCTCTTCAATGGACATGATTCTGCGGAGCGGCTGGGGCAGCAGACCCCCGGTCCCCGGCCCCTCTTCTGTAAGGGGGTGCCCACTCAGGCCCAGGGAGCTTCTCCTCCGCAGGATGCCAAACACATCTTCCTCCTCCTCTGACTGGCTGTTTTGGAGAAGAATGAAGAGTGGGGAGAATATTGTAAAATGTATCTGAATGGAAGCTGGGGGTCTGTGACAGAGAGCTGTGGAGCACACTTTTTGGGGGCAGAGAGGAACCAAGAAAGGGAAAACCAGACCCAGCATTGTTTAGCTCATTCGTTCAATGTCCTTATGATGAGGGTGAGATGAAGGTGAAGGTGATGATGAAGGTGAAGGTGGTGAAGGTGAAGGTGATGAAGGTGATGCTGGCTCCCAGGTATTAAGCTAATGACAGTCAGCAACAGATGCACACAGCCCCCGTCCTCGTGGAGCGCTTGGCTTAGCAGGGCTAGAGCAATCATGACTGTTCCAGACTGTGGGAAGTGCCACAAAGGAGAAGTAAAGGTGTGAAGAAAGAAGCATAACACATGTGGAAACAAAGCATCCTGGGTTAAAGGTCGGTGGCCTTTGCCCTGGTCCCATGCCAGCCCTTACCAGCTGTGTGTCCCCAGGTAAGACACCAACTCTCCAGGCCTGTTTCCTCACCCTTCCGCCCTGCCCACCTCCCCAGTAAGCCAGTGCATAAGCCAGACCTGTTAGGGAAGCAGCCCTCGGGGATGCAGGCGAGGGGGACCACTGCTCTGGGAGGGACCCCGGCACGGCAAGCGTCCACCACCAGCTCAGGGTGGGAAGGAAGCCCTCCACCCGCTTCTCCTTCCTTTCTCCTTAGGATCAGGAGTGAGTGGCCTCAGAGGCCTGAGTGCACGTTTGCTTCCAGAAACACCTGAGCAACCAGAACAAGGAGAAGCAGCGGGGGGGTGTGCAGCACTCGGGCACCAGACGTGGGTCCAGGGCACGGGCTGTGTCCCCAAGGTTTGTGAGCAGAGGCCCCGCGGGCCCTCCTGGTGCGGCCCCCTCTCAGGCCTTTATGAACAAGTCAAGCTGAGGACTCTTTTACGGGGAGGAACTTGAGTCCAGAATCGAAACACACACACACACAAACACACACACACACACACTCGAGAACTAGAAAATCGAGCAGGATGCGGTGGTGAGGCGGAAGTGGGCGACGGACACAGAATATGCAGCACAGGGAAAGCCCCTTCACTTTGCCCCAACTCCCGCCCCCCCGCTCCTAGCATTTCTGGCCCCTAAGGACCAAAAACAGAAAAAAAAGAGAAAAAAATGCATGTATCACTGTTCTGAACTCCGGACACTTCTAAGGTAAATTAAGGTATAGCGCTTGCTCACAAAAGTGCTGACTTAGCTTGGATCCCCTGATATAAAATAAAGGATCTGTAGCAATTCAAGGACTCTTACACTTATTTATAAAATCAGCTTTTTACAGAAAATGACTGCCATCTTTCCAACAAATTTCTTCGACATTCTGACGAGCCTACTAAGTGCCTAGCCACTTGAGCACACAATTAGTGTTCCCATCTGCTTTCACTCTGCTCACACACACGCGTGCACACGTGTGAACACGTGTTGTGAGCGTGTACGCACGCGCACAGATGCAGAGCATGGCTTTTCAAAGGCCTTGCAACTAGAAAAGAAATGGGCACTGAAATGACCCTAAATGAAGCGTTTCTTACTTGGGAAATTCTCAAGCACTATTACACTCTGGAATACCTTCAGCTTAGCCTGACTAAGCTCCTTTTTGGTTTTGCCACAAAATGCTATGCACCAGTGGCAGACAGCGGTCACCTCTGACAGAGTCTGCATGGGAATTCGGGGTTTGCAATTTATCGATTACTCATCAATTATTGTCTGTGTCCTCCACTCAATTATAAGCTCCATGAAAGCAGAGATGGGGTCTATTTTGCTCACTCCGTATCCCCAGCACACGGCACTGAGTCTTGCACAGGGCAGGCACTCAGTAATGGATATTAAGGGCAGGACTCGTGTCTAATTGATCTTTGGAGACTTCCCAGAACTCAGAGAATGTCAGGTACAGAGTAGGCAATTGGCCTCTGCTTGTTGGAAGCACATATTCCATTCCGAGGAACCAACAGGTGAACTGTTGATGCAGGAATCTGGCTCCCATGTTGTGAATCCTGGTTCAGCGATTTAGAAGAGGAGTTCATGATGGTCAGGTTCAAGGTCTTGAGCCATCAGCAGATTGACATCCCCAGGGCACCTCCGCTTGGCATGTCTATTTCATGCTTGCTGTCCCCAGGGTCTCCCGGATGAGCAGGTTCACACACTTTGTCCCGGGTTTGATACGTGGGGATCTGGCAGCCTCCACCTCTCTGTGGCCACATCCATGGGAAGAAGCACGTGCCCCAGAGAAGACAGGGCAGGGGTAGGGGCGGGAGGCTGGCGTGCCTCCTTCGGGGAGCAACAGGCCACCCCTCTGGGGACTTAAATGCAATCGTGTGCTGTCCAACAACAACCAAGCATGTTATCCCTGAGTTAATTAAATATGAATTATTGAAAGGAGTCTTGTCAAGTACAGGCCCCATTCTCATCTGTAAAGGACTTCAACGACTGGAGATTCCGTACTACACTCTAATTACCCTTCAGACTCACGCAGTCCTGTCCCTGGAAAACCAAGAGCATCCATTCTGCTCAACAGACAGCAGGGCCCGGCCCAGCATCCACTCCCTCCCTCTCTCTGACCCCTCTTCCTCCGACCCCCTCTGTCCCTCCCCTGATCTGCAGCCCCTCTTCAGCGCCCCCTGGCAGGAACGGCCTGTCCTAAGTGCTTGCCCTGCACCTAGATGTCAGAACAGGAAGGCACGCGTCCTCCAAGACTCAAGGGGAGCGATAGTGGCTGACCCCAGGCTTCCCGCCAGGGCCAATCTGCACTCAGCTTGGGCTCAGAGCCTGCGCCCAACCTGGCAAGACCAAGGAACAGGTAATGAATGAGCACAGCAGGGATGCCTTACCTTCTGAGCATCCCTCCGCCATCCACATATTTGCCGATCACAGAGCCAGATCGCTGCTTCTGGCTTGCCTTGGAAGCAGCTGTGTTTGCCTTGGCTGCCTTGTCTTTCTGTAGAAACACAAAATGCCCTCAGATCCACTCCTACTGATTTGTCCCAACGTTGGAGCAGAAAAGGGCTCAATTTCCCCACCTCATAGTACAGGCTTCAAATAAAACTCTAAAGGAAGCAAGAGATGGCCTGGGCTCCCTGCGAGCTAGCCTTCACCCACTCTTCCCTTTTGCTGTCATCTCTTGCCATAATTCCTCCATCTCCCATCTAATAAGCTAATCAGAGTTTCGAGCCTGGGGTCTGCCAGCTTACCCTTCCCAGGAGTAGTGATAATTTGCAAGAGGACAAGCTAAATGTGGGATGCATAGGAAAAATATTTATGGGCAGAAAAAACTCTGTGCATCTTTAAATCACACACATTCTTCAGTGGGGTTTCAATCCCTCTTTATTTCCAAACCCCCAGATAGGAGGATCAATGAACCCAGAGCCTTGTCCACAGCTACAAAGCTAGGACAAGGTATTTCAGATCTTTTGTGGAAGTGGGCTGGCTGTAGGTAAATTGCTCACGTATTTGCAATGGAGAGACTGGGTAGAGTGGGGGGCTTACACCTGCCTTGCCAGGGCTCCCCTGACAGATGTCTTCCAGATAAGGGGGGTGTTAGATCACAGGAAGAATCTCTCATTAACCAGCCAGCCCCATGGTTCCTAGGGATCCTTCCTGAAAGAAGGAGGGGCTGCAGTGCTCCCAGGGCCCCCGCAGGTATGGCTGTGATCCCAAATTAATCTTTAATTGTGATTCAGCATGAACATGATTTTATCCCTCTTTCTTCCATTCCCCACAAGGGTTCTTATTCCCTTAATTCCATTCCCTTCTCAAAGCAGAATGAGTTTGGCAGGTGAAGGGAAGCCAGGTCAAGGGATTAAGGCGACATTTGTTAGGAAGTTTTAAAATAAATTCGGTGTTACTTCTTAAACAATTATAACCATTACCACCATCAAACAAACATGTGTAGGCTTAAGCCTTGCTCTGATAGTACACATAGGTGGGCGGCAGAGACATGTTGCTGACAGCCAGTGGTAGAAAAGACACTGTGATGTACAAGGTCCCTAAAGGATCTGCGCTTATAAACTAGGTTGCACCGGATCCGGGGCAAACTATCTGCTGTGTACTGACCACATTTAGGGCACTGAACGGCTGAGAGTCCAGCGCAAGACCTTCCTTTCCAAGAGTTTTTCACACGCACAAAAATCCCTACAGTTTGGAAAAAAGGATAGAGATTCTCTTTCCTCACGTGATAATGGGGGTCATGGCCCAAGGAGGCTAATGATTTGCCCAAGGACACACGTGAAATTCACCGTGCGATAATCCTGATAATCAGAATGTCACATCAATCCATCCTGCCCGCCTTTTTCTTCCCTTCACAGCTTCCACAGCTACTGTCTAAAGGGGAGGATGTTAGGGGAATGAGAAATCCTAGATTCTGTTTAACGCAGCCGGAAGTGAAATTCTTTAAATAAATACAGGATTTTCGTGCTATTTGGGAAAGTATGTAACTGTGGCACTCAGGGTCAGAGAAGCATCGGTCCCCATAGGGTAAAAAAATTGTACATAAAATCAACTATGTAAACGGTGAAATATACTTTTTTTTTTTTTTTTTTTTTTGCGGTACGCAGGTCTCGCACCGCTGTGGCCTCTCCCGTTGCGGAGCACAGGCTCCGGACGTGCAGGTTCAGCGGCCATGGCTCGTGGGCCCAGCCGCTCCGCGGCATGTGGGATCTTCCCGGACCGGGGCACGAACCCGTGTCCCCTGCATCGGCAGGCGGACTCTCAACCACTGTGCCACCAGGGAAGCCCGAAATATACATTTTTAATTCTTTCTACGACAGTGTGTAAAAATGAAAAATTTTCATCAAGCGATCAACATGTTAATGAAGAAAAAAACTGAGCATTTTGGTTTAAAACTGATGATGCCATTTCAACTGCACCATCTCATGGATGGCACGATCATTTCTACATCCAAGAAATGTGGGGCCCTCCCAAGTATCCTGGTCTCGTGATGCCAAGAGGAAAGTGTGTCACTTCACGGGAAATTAACACACTATGACCCTATAGGTCAACCTGAATTTTTACTATTTTCAAAAAATCTTATGCCACCGTCCTGCACACACAAAGGAGTGACCAGATTCCAAGCCTCAGGATCTTCTTGGGCCAGTCCCAGCGCAGGTCTGGCTGCCACTGGACCCCAGTCTTCGTCTTCCCCCAGGGGAGGGGGCACTGGCCAATTACCTGAAAACATATGTCCCGTTCATCCCGAAGATACTTGTTCCTTTCCCTGTGGATGGAAAAGGGGAATCTATTCAAACATGGGGCTTGCAGTCAACAGATCCAATAGCATTGGTTTGACGGTCAGATGGGTACAGAGGAAGGCCAGGCATGGAAGGCCCGGGGAGGGCGCGGAACCACTTTCCTTAGTGATTGTGGCTAAGGGTAATTGTGTATAAGTCAGGTCAGAGGCAGGGGGATACACAGAATGGCCTTGTGACACCCAGGGCCCTTCAGGATCCTGCATTGGTCCATCTGATCACTAAGGGAGCCTTCCACAGAGCTGACCAGGTGTTCCAGCTCCGCCTTGAACTTGCTGTGCCCCCCCCCTCCTCTAAACCTTTCATTCATGAATGCATGTGTGGCTGCATGCCACACGTGTCTCCCTGAGCCCACGCTGTGTGCCGGGCACTGCTCCAGCTGTCAGGGCTACACCAAGGAATGGAAGAAAAAGTTCCTGCCCCCAGGGCATTTGTATTTCATTGCTATTGAGAAAAATAAAGTGGGGAAGAAGTGGCATAAAGAGGGCCAGAGATGGAGGGTGGTCAGGGAAGACCTCACTGAGGAGGTGGCATCTGAGCAGAGGCTTAAAGGGTGCGGAGGAGAGAGCCCAGCAGGGATGGGGGAGAGCGTCACAGGCAGAGGGAATGGCAAGGGCAGGGACTGGGGTTGGGAGACATGTGGTGTTCATCCAGTGGAACGGAAACGAGGGAGCAGATGCTCAGAGGTCAGAGGAAAGATGGGGGAGGTGGGGATCTGCCATCCCCTGCCTGTGGGCCACTGTCAGAACTCTGAATTTATCCCAATGAGATATGAAGCCATGGGGGGTGGGCTTTGGCCGAGGAGTGACCTGACCTGACTCAAGTTTTAAAAGGAGTCCTAGAAACGCTGTGCTAAGAGTGATGTGCTGGGGACAAGGATGGGGCCCTGAGAGCTGGCCCATATTTTAAGCAACGTGGAGGTCGTTGGTTCCACGTTTGGTGGAATAGGGGGAGAAAAAGCCTGGTGGAGGGTTGAGAATGCGAGGCTGGGAAATGGAGATGGCCGACTGTAAATGGAAACAACTCTTTGGAAAGTTGGGGAGCCACGCCTTCGTCTCTTGTCTCCTGGAGCATCTCCATGCAGAGGCTCCGATAGGCAAGGGAATGTTCTGCTCTGTACATGTGTCCTCTGTCCTTCACGGCACCGCTCTGTAGCGACAGCCGCGCACAAGTCACCCAATTCTCCCAGGAAGCCTGCGACACAGGCATGTCCAGGTTGTTGACAACTGCTCAAGGTTGCACAGGTGATGAGGGGCTGGGCTGAGTCTGGAACCAGATCCAGCTCCAAAGTGCACGTTCCTACCAAGCACCCTGAAACTACTTCCATGTGCCCCCATTTCCCTTAGGACGGCAGCCCCTCGCCCCTGGGTCACACCCCGGCCATGGTCCCGATCCCCCCCCAACAATTCCCGCTGTCTTCCCACCCCACCTGCTCCCAGCTCTCTCTGTCTCTCCCTGATGCCCATTTCCCCTGGCTGTCTGTCTCTACCCGGAGATCTCACTGTGGAGGAAGAGCCTGCCGTGGGCTCTCCCGCCACATCCGGGCTCTCCCTGGCTGGCTCGGGGACCAGGCGACAGCACAGCAAGTTTCAGGCTGGGATTCTGCACAGACGCTGGTCTCCATGCAAAAGACCCCCAAGTGTTGGCAGAGTGCTGCCTCGTCATCCTCCCCTGCGCCTTCACACTGAATCTGCCTCTGTATTTTTTTCTAAGTACAATAGAAAAAAGGGAAAAAACCCAACCAAACTCGTTCTTGTACATCTTATTCTCTGCCTTCACTAAAGCCTTCCTGAGAATCCACACCTTCTCTCACAGGGATTAAAACTTGGCCCCTAAGAACGACTTCCATCTCCCTGGCCTTTGGAATCACATCTTGAGGGAAACAAATCTGAAATGCATTCAGTTTGAAGAACTTTTCTATTTGGTGGCATCAAAGATGCCAGATGCAGTGATCTTACCTTGCTTTCAAATTAAAAAAAAAAAAACAACCTAAAAACCTTCAAAAGGTACCCAACTCAAACCCACCTGCACTTTAAAAATCAGGACCCAAATTTCATCACTATTCCCCAAGAGGTGTTTGACAGGCAGCACGTATAGTAACTTAGAAAGCTCAGAGGCAAAATTAAACATTCCATTTTCCCCACACCCGTTTGCGTTTGGTTGTTTTTTGGGGGGGGGATAATCCAAACCAAACCAATGAGCTTTGAATCTACAGGTAGTTTAACAGGCTGAGGACACTCCTAACGCCCTTCTTGCTGCTCTGTTTGTGATTCATTTACTCATTCAACAAACATGAACAGAATATGGCAGACTAAAGAGCACCAGCCAGCTGGGGACTCAATTCCGGCTCTGGCAGCGAGCGTCTGGGTCACTCTGGTAAATTACTCCATCTCTCTGATATCAGCTTCCTTGATGGCTAACCCCTGTATTAACAGCTGCCCTACTTCCCAGGTTTTGTTGAAGATGAAGGAGATACTACCTCTGGCATGGACTAGATGCTCCGTAAATTCAGTTCTCCTCCTACCTGAGCAAGTACCGTACCAGGTACCAAGCAGGAGGAGGCAGCGCCTGCCTGCAGAGGTACAAACTGGAGAGGGGGCTGGGCACCTGTGTAAATGGACTAAACATAATGGAGAGGTGGTGCTCAGTTGTCCAACAGTATGTTGGGGACCAGGGAAATGTGGGTGCTCCCTCAGCAGGCAGGGGAGACTCTGGGGGTGCCCCTTCCCACCCAAGGCTCTGGGATGCGGACGCACCTTAGGAAATCCAGCTGTTTCAGGAGCCCTGACTTCTCCCGCTGCAGACTCTCCGTGACGCGGTACACTTCCCTGCAGGGGATGCAAGACGGCAGTGATGAGTGACATGTGGGGGGAGGGGGTGCTACCAGGGCACGAGGCAGTGATGAAGTTGGACCCAGAAGGTGGTGCCCGGGCTGGCCTTCCTCTGGAGAGAGAGCACGGCCTCGTGCAGGCCTTATAGCCAGGTCTCACCAAGTTGTCTCAGACACCCTATTTGGAAGGTGAAATGATCCCTGTTTTTTGTTTGTTTTTTTTTTTTTGCGGTACGCGGGCCTCTCACTGTCGCGGCCTCTCCCGTTGCGGAGCACAGGCTCCGGACGCGCAGGCTCAGCGGCCATGGCTCACGGGCCCAGCCACTCCGAGGCATGTGGGATCTTCCCGGACCGGGGCACGAACCCGTGTCCCCTGCATCGGCAGGCGGACTCTCAACCACTGCGCCACCAGGGAAGCCCGATCCCTGTTTTATAGACACAGATAGTCAAGTAGGTTTGATAACTCTCCCTGGCAACCCAGGACTGAGCCAGGGTCCTAATCTAGACCCCCGACTCCCTGTCCCAAGGATACAGCTTGATGATGACTGCACTGTTTTCTCAGGCTCCCAGTGGTCCTGCCCCGCCCCCACGAGAGGTCAGGGAATCAGAATCAATACTCTTCTCCAGCCCAGCCTCGGAGGGTGAGAGCAGAGCTGGTGTTTCTCCCTCCCCCCGTCCCCCCCATGCTGGTTTAGTTTGTATGCAGGAGCTATTGAAGACCTATCTTTCCTTCCCCACTTTCCCCCAACAGTCTCCAATCTGTTCCCGGAGATCTGGGATTTCCACTGTTGCACATTCATTTCTTTGACTAAAATTTCTTATCTCTAGCTACAAAGCAGAGATTTAATGTATCAATCATAATCCGTCATTTACATCACAGCGTGAGCGTGTCAATCATAGGAGTTTTGAGGAAGGGGAGAGAGAAGCTGAGACATACAGAGCGTGGCTGGAGGGCAACTCAGGCTGCGAGGCAGGGGGCTGTGTGTGCTTTGTTTACATCTATATCCTCGACACAGTGGCTGGCTTGGAGGTGCAGTCAACAAATAGCAGCGGGAAGAGAAAAAAGAGAGAGGGCTAAAGGAGGGGCGGGGAGGGCAGATGGCAGGGATGGAGGGAGGAAGAGAGCTGGAGGGGGAGGGGGCGTTTAGGAGGAAGCCAGCACCACTCAGAGAAGAAAGGAAAAAAATAAAGCAGGGCTTCCCTGGTGGCGCAGTGGTTGAGAGTCCGCCTGCCGATGCAGGGGACACGGGTTTGTGCCCCGGTCCGGGAAGATCCCACATGCCGCGGAGTGGCTGGGCCCGTAAGCCATGGCCGCTGAGCCTGCGCGTCCGGAGCCTGTGCTCCGCAACGGGAGAGGCCACAGCGGTGAGAGGCCCGCGTACCGAAAAGAAAAAAAAAAATAGCAGAATGGGGTGATGTTGGAAAATAAGCCTTGCTTAACTGCACAGTTCTGCTTCCATCCTTCCCTCTGTGCTCTGCACCACAGTTCAGAGATTTAAAATCTCCCCCAAGCTTACTGCAAAGGGTCCCGTATTTCCAAGCCACAACCTAGTAAATGCGTCACTGCCACGGGCCATCAGGGCTGCCTTGACTGTGCGCAGGCTGAGCTGCGTAAGGACGGTCCCCTGGCAAAGCCCATCCACGTCACCACGAGCTTGCTGGGGCCACAGGACTCGCAATCGCCTTATTCCTTGAGCGGTATCTGTGGGGTTTCCCCCTTTATAGCAGAATTATAAAGTCACTTTGCGACAGTAACAGACTGTCTCAAATACCAAGTTCACCTCAGACAATGCTTATTCAGTAACAGAACTTCTCTGGCTCCTGCAGAGCTGCAAACTCCCAACATTTTATTGCCAATTATATTTAATGTCAACTGGAGGGAAAACAATGTCTTCCCTATTATCCATCCTGGGTCCCTAAATGCCATCTGGGACTCTGCTCCGAAGGGCACCCGGTGAGCACAGCTGTCTGGTCGCAGCCTGGCGCCCTGGGAGCTCAGGTTACCTGCATCCGGCTTTGGGGCTCCGCCACCCCCATCCCGGGCCCTGCTTCCTCCTGGGGCAGCCGAAAGCAGAGGGCTTTCCCCGCTAAGGACAGACACTCACACCGGAGACCTAACCTAATGGGTCCTCACAGTGTCTGACCGAGTGGCCAGTTCCTCCACAACCAAGAGGACCTCAGTCCAAGCCTCCTCTGGCCCTGCTTACAAGGCACCAGGGACCTTGGCACCGTGCACACACACACAACTACACACACATACGTGGTATGTATCGGTGCAAACCTACGTCTGTTTGTCTAGTAGACACACATCTGTCTAAACATGCACACATATGTATATTCAGATAGATTTTTTGTGTTAACAAATAGAAAAGCATTTCTGCAAAAAAAAAGACACTTGGATATTTGACTAAAATGACCTTGAAAGTCCTTCTAACCTAGATGTTCTACAAGTTTATGTCTGGCTAACAGGTGAAGTGAAAGGAACAGAACTTGCCGTTTTGCGGTAGTAACTGGTGAGAGGTTTATGGCTGCTGGGAGGGAAGGGCTGTTGGCTGTGTTTTTATGAGAAAGAAAGAAATATGGAGCGTTCTCCAAAGGATCTGTCAAGTGGAAAACGCAGGCAAATGTACAACAGTGTGTGTGCTGTCACTTTGTAAAGAGTGTGTGTGTGTGTGTCTGTGAGTGTGTGTCTGTGTGTGTTTGTGGGGGGGTCTGTGTGTGTGTGTGTGTCTGTGAGTGTGTGTGTCTCTGTGTGTCTGTGCCTGTGTGTGCATGTGTGTGTCTCTGTGTGTGTGTGCGTCTGTGTGTCTGAGTGTGTGTTTGTGTGTGTCTCTGTGTGTGAGTGTGTCTGTGTGTGTGTGTTTGTGTGGGGTCTGTGTGTGTGCGTGTGTGTGTGTCTGTGTGTGTGTGTCTGTGTGTGTGCATGTGTGTGTGTGTGTGCACGCACATGTACAGAACACTCTGGAAGGAGCCAGGACTGGTGCCCTCTGGGTGATGGGAGGCTGGGAGTCAGGGGGTGGGGGGCACACCTCTTTCTGCCACATTTCGTGCCTTGTCATAAACCACCTCTCCCCCAGATACAAGTTAATTAACAAAATAGAGGTGTTGCCTTCCAGCCGACCTTCATCTTTATATTGTCTCCCCTGCTCGACTGCTCCTTCTTCATCTGATTTTAAAATCTAGTTCTCCTTCCTTGGGCACCTTCAGAGAACAGGAAAATTCATTTTGTCCATTCAGAGCTCCAGCTGATACATGACGGGGTCTGTTGATCTAGAGGCCCACTCTCCCCCCTCCCAGCAGCATCCGGCAGCTGGACATCATCGGGGAAGCACAGGGTATCAGGAGGACGAGTCTCTGACCTTGTTTTCTGACACTAACTAGCTGGGTGGCTGCGAGCTGCTCACTACTCCTCTCTGAGCTTGGTTTTCATTTGTGAAATGAAGAGGTGGGTTCCAGCACAAAGGTCCTGTTGGCTCTGCTGGTCTGGGATCCTGCTCTACGGAGGACAAGCTAAGCCTCTCCCTGCCCTTCTCTCCGGGCCGCTCTGGAGGAGACACGCTCTCCTGGGCTCCAGCAGGTTCCCCAGCTGCACACGCTGCAAGCTTCTTATTGAAACAAAGTCGCAAAGGTTCTGGACTCATTTCTCTCCCTCCTAACCCTCCTTCCCTCTTTTTCAATTCGAAGCCTCCAGAGACTGTGTGTCTGGCTTGCTTAATTAAGATAAGACTTCAGAAAGATTTTAGTCCTCACGCTGTGATTCGTTACGCGGGCTCCGGTGCTCATTTCCATTTGCGGTTCTCATGCCTGTGCCTTTCAGATTTTGTCGCTTTCAGGACTTGATTGAATTTTAAGAGCCTGACTCCTTAATTCTGTTTATAAAGTTAAGCACCTGGTTGACCTGATCTCAATGCGGAGGGACCGATTTTGCTTGTTTACAATGAAATATACTGTCCTTCCGCCGGGCATCCAAGCCTTGGAATGGAGGGGTTGATTTTACTTTAAGTCAGCTGCTTGGGAAGACATATCTTTTTCAACTGGAGATGTCTTCCTAGGGTAACACTCCAAATCCAAACCCATCCCCTCCCTCTCACTCTAGATCATTCCCAAACAGTACAGGACATTACACATGAGGCAGACAGCAGAACAATTTTTTTTTTTTTGCGGTACGCGGGCCTCTCACTGCTGTGGCCTCTCCCGTTGCGGAGCAACAGGCTCCGGACGCGCAGGCTCAGTGGCCATGGCTCACGGGCCCAGCCGCTCCGCGGCATGTGGGATCCCCCCGGACCGGGGCACGAACCCGCGTCCCCTGCATCGTCAGGCGGACTCCCAACCACTGTGCCACCTGGGAAGCCCCAGCAGAACAATTTGATTTAGGCTCTGATGCACCAACGATTTGCCAGCCGTCAGACAGAGTCAGGGCTTTTGAACAAAGACAGTTAACACATGTAAAACATCAAGCATTGGTAAGACTGCCCTTTTTTTGAAATCAGACTTTATACCTTACCTCACCCAGGACCAGGCACCCAGGTTTTGCAGAATGACTACATGAGTCCTCGAACAAACGAGTAAGTGAAGGGTGGCCAGTCCTAGTCCTGGGCACAGTTTTCCGGCTGACTCATTTGTCACTGTGGGGAGTCAGCAGCATGTGTCCAGCACTTAGCATCTCAGGACAGGTACTTAACACCTCTGAACCTCAGTTTCCTCATCCATAAACTAGAGTTGATAACCACGGTACCTGGACGCTGAGAAGGTCAAATGAGATAATGTCAGATTTTCGACGTAAGTGAGGTACGCTGAGTGCCCAAGACAGTGTTGAAAGCGCTGAGTAGCTTTCAACACATGTTGCTGATGTGAATCTGCCAGTGAATGCACTGGTACATGGGTGAACAGATAAGCAAGTGAGATTCCGGGGCCTCAGAGAGCCCTTGTTCTCAAAGCCTAACACTCCTGAGACCGCTTCCTCAGTGACTTCTCTGGGTCAGGTGCAGACCCAGCCTTGGACTGTTCCCAGGGGCACCTCCATCCAGCAAGCCGAACCCAATGGCTGGACACCTAGTTTATCAGCAAACCAGTCCCCAGAGATATGGGGCTGCCCACACGGGGCCCACACAGAGGAAGGCTGAAAAAGGAAGGAAAAAGAGGAAGGAAAAAAATGGGCAGAGCTGGGGTGAAGCGTCCAGGGCACTGTCACACGCCCTGTCGAACTACATGCTGACCTCGGAAGTCTTCCTGGCCCACTCTGTTCTCCCAGGTCTCCGAACCATGACAGTCAATGTCTGGTCGTTCCACTCACTCAGGATTTTCCCCCAGACTGCCCCCTATTTGTTGGCTGGATAACGTCTTTCTAATCACATAATACGTTGTCTGAGAATGAGGCTGTACGTTTCTCGTCAATCCTAGGGCGTGCTCGGCACAGAACTGGTCTGCTTCACAGTCTCAGAATCCTAGAAGGTTAGAAGAGGTCCCAGGGACCAAGGAGCCCCATCCCCATGTTATGAGCAAGGAGAAGGGTCTGGGGGGCGGGCTAATGCGCTCACAGCAGGGGACGGATCTGGAGGGCACAAGGGTGACACTCACATCTCCTTCTCCTGGTGGAGTTTTCGGGCCTCTTGCTGGAGGCTTTCCAGCTGCTGCTGGGCATCCTGCAGCTCCCAGGACGTCCGCTCCAACTCCCCAGCCAGCTCCTGGTTGGTGAGCTTCAGCTTGGCGTTCTCAGCCTTGGTTTCGTGCTTGTCGTTGTGCAGGGCGGTGCACTGGCCTTCCAGCTGGAAAGGGACGGGGGCGTTGTGCAGAGGGGAGCGATGAGCAAGCTCCACCCCCATCAGGCTGGCCTTTCCCAGCCGCGCCCTGCTTCCTCCACCTGGTGGGCGGGAACCCATGCTACTGCCCTTCACTGCCCTCAAGCCTCAGTCAGCTTTGTCCTGCCCCTTAATGCACACACACACACACACACACTTCTGGAGGCAGGAAGGACAAATTCAGTTTAATGAATGTGGCCAGTAAGAGAAGAAGGAAGCAACAACAAGGAATATTGTGTGATTCTCAAGAGGCCCCTGAGTAATCAGGCAAGCATGCAGTAATTAAGTCGAGTGGCAATCATTCATTGGAGGGATAAATCTAACTGGTGAGAACTTAATGCATAATAGTGAAGAGGAAAGAGAGGAGGAGAAGCCAGGTACACTGTGCAGGGCGGGGGTGGGGGTGGGGGAGGGGGAGGCAGCTGGTGGTGAGAGCGTCTTGCTGCAGGAGAGAAACCAAAACCTACAGGTTGGGTACTCAGAGGAGTGGAACCGTCTCCAGCCTTAGCATGGGGGTGTCTTCAAGTGTATTTTAATGTGCTGCTAAAAATATCCCTTTCTATTCAAATGGAACCAATGTGTCTGGGTCTGTCCAGGGCTGGATGCCTTCCAGCACCAGACAAAACAAAACAGGAGGCCAAGCGGCACCCGGGCCTCTCTCTCCTACGAGCCCCTTGCTTTGGAGACGAGGCTGTGGGCGCGAGGTTTGCCTAGGGAACCCATCTCCCTGGGGTCCTGAGCCACGCACTCCCAGCCACAGTGGGTGGACCCTGGGACACCACCCAGCCTGCCTCTGGGGACTCAGGTGCGTCAGGGGCACGTCTGGTGTCTGCATCCACCCTGCGTGGTGACGGGAACTGTCCCAAAGGAGGCTGACGCACCTTGTACGGGCACATAGGAAGACAGGGGATGGACAAGTTGAGCTTTGTCCTGGTCAACCTGCTCTTCCAGCTGGAGGCATCCCTGGCCCTCCTGGCAGGAAGACATCACAGTCTGCAGCCTCCCCCCAGATATCAGTGTGTGTGACCACAGCATCCCCCTTATCTCTCACACAGGATGCAGGAAACAAAGTAACGATTTGGCGTTCTGGCGGCTCCTGGGCATAATTACACCACGATGCCTGCGGGGGATACTTGGGAGAATTCTTGGCAATTTTTCCAAAGTTAAACACCAGGCATTGGAGAGTAAAGGCTTTATCTTGGGATCACCTGTGATTTCAGATTTTCTCTTTTGTTCAACTAAATGGTTCTTCTCAGATTTAAGAAAACAGAGTCCTTAAGTGAATGGCAGGGAAAGTGGGCAAGCGCCACAGGAGGGGATGGAGTGCAGGGCAGGTGCTCTGAGGACACGGACACGAACATACCCGCTTCTGCTTCTGGATGAGCCGCTCCAGTTCCTGCTCCTTGGAGAACAGCTTCCGTTCCAGCTCCTGACTGCACGCCTGGAACCTCTCCGTGTCCTGCCAAGCCGGGAAGAAGGACACATGAGGCCCAGATGCACCGGGATGGAGATTTTTTTCCCCCCACCTTGAACCTGCTCAACAGCAGGGAGGGGCCCGCCCATCCTTTGGGGTCTTCCCACAACATCCCAGGGCTTTGGTCACCCGCCTGCCCTGGCAGCTGGAGAGTGTGCCCAACGCCAGCTCCCACCACATATGACATGTCGGATGACCTCCTCCCACAGGAGAGGCAGCGTCGGTTAGTGGGCGGGTACCGAACGGGGAACAGAACAGGGGCTGAGCTGGAATCTCAGGCCTCAGGCTCCCGTCTGTCCACTGGAAGATGGAATGTCCTTCCGGCTCGTTTATTCTGTCCATGTTGGGCGCAGTCATTCAATCCTTTAAACTGCCCTCCCTCTGAAAACACAGGGGCCCCACTTCTTCCTCCTTCAGGCGGGTCTACGCCCTCGCTGTGTCCCCGCTGGGACGGAGGGCTCCCAAGCCCCGAGGGGGGGGGTCTCTCCCGTGAGCTCCACAGCCCCTCCCCCCTGCCCTAGAACCGGCCTTCCCCACTCAGGGATGTGGAGACCCCAGTGATGCAAGCGGGAAGGGGCCTGGTCGTGGGACAAAGAGGAAAGTGTGTAGCTGGCAGGATGCCTGACACTCTCACTAGAGCCTGATCCGGTGTAAGGGCCCTGAGTGGGCAGCGGGAGACTTGGGGTCCAGCACTGCCTTGCCCAGTCTCCCTGCTTTTTTCTTCCACGTCGCTGTTTCTTGGGAAACATGCTCTCTGCTTGTCCGAGGCATGGCCGCGGCGCAGGCCAGGTAGGAAGAGAAGAAAGCATCATAGCCTCCATATAACTCACCACAGGAGCCCCACGGGCTTTCCGTGATGTGGAACGACACCTCCCCAAGGAAGACAGTGGTGAGACTCAGCCCTAGGGGGCAGCCCTGTCTGGAAGCAGCAAGGTGAGGGGACAGCAGCCCCTGTCAAAGCCCAGGGCTCTTCCTCAGCCCCTCATCTGGGGACGCCACCTCGTTCCTCAGCCCACTTTTTTTTTTTTTTTTTTTTTGCGGTACGTGGGCCTCTCACTGCTGTGGCCTCTCCCGTTGCGGAGCACAGGCTCCGGACGCGCAGGTTCAGGGCCATGGCTCACGGGCCCAGCCGCTCTGTGGAGTGTGGGATCTTCCCAGATCGGGGCACGAACCCGTGTCCCCTGCATCGGCAGGCGGACTCTCAACCACTGCGCCACCAGGGAAGCCCTCTCTGCCCATTTTGGACAGGTCAGCGGGGCTCGGGGGGAGCCTGTGACCGTCCTCGTGTCGGCCACGCCTGACGGTGGAGGCAGGGTATGACCAGGCAGCCTCTGCTCCCAACGTTTGCTGCAGGGAATCTTGCCCACCCCGCTGGCTGGGGGTGGGGCGAGCAGCTCCAGGACCCCCGGCTGATGCCGGCAGCCTCGCAAAGGCCAGACGGAGTGTCTTAGCGGCCCTGCTGGGTACAGAGTGCTGAGGGGGTCACGGCCAGTGAGATGCCGAGCGCCAAGCTGGCCAGAGGGTGCAGCCTCTCAAGCTGTCATGAACTGTAGACCACCAACCTCACACGGTGGCCAGGCCACGCCTGCGCGCCCAAAGGCTTCGCAGCACGGCCAACACGTGTTCACGGCTCCCACGCGTACGCAAACAGCGTACATCGCAGAGCTGAGCCTGAAAGGCGTTTGGGGCTCAGAGGCCTTGAGAAGGGAGGAGCCGGGCTGGAGGGTGGGGCGCGGCAGCGGGGTCAGACCCCCCAACTGGGGCAGATTTGCCCTGGAATTCCCCCCCCCCCCCAGCCCCGACCTCTTTCCGTTCCCAGTCCCCAGGCGTTGACCCACCTATTGCTTCTGGAAGCAGCATCTTTCCTTAGCTATGACCTTTGACTTGTAGTCATGGTGGGGGGGAGGGGGCCGAATGCCGCCCCCCACCCCCCCAGAACTCGGCCCCTCTGTGCACAAAGCCACTGGGGTAAAGGGAGGGGTCTACTATTGCAGGGGGAGGCGGGGGGGGGGGCGGTAAGGCTGAGGCTTCTGGAAAAGCCCCCCGCCCCCGTAGGGTCCGCTCGGTGAGGAGATGCGTGTTCTCTCTGCCTGTTCGCCTTCACTAAGGCTGGATGTCGGGGGAGGGCGGTGTCAGCCAGGACGCATTAGCGCTCTAAAAAGGAAGGCGAGGGGGAGGTCTGGAAATACTGCCCAGCCTCCAGAGGGCTCTGGGTGGAGAACACAACCGGCTTTTTCTGGAAAGCATTCTGACGCCCTCTCAGCTGGAAGGGCGTCTGTGATAAGAAATGGGGCCGTGGTGTGAATAATCGGCAGAATGAAGTGAAACGCTGGTTTAGACCAACCTGCCTTAAGGAGCAGGGGAGCGATGTGACAGCGCCTCAGGTTCAGCCTTTAGAGGCAGCAAGCCAGTGATGGGGTCTCTATGTTCAAAATTCATACGTTGAAACTTAACCCCAAGGAGATGGCCCCAAGGAGGTGGGCTCTTTGGGAGGCGATTAGGTCACGAGGGCAGAGCCCACCAGAGTGGGATTAGTGCCCTCGTCCGATACCCCAGAGAGCCTGCTTGCCCACGTGAGGACACAGAGAAGTTGGCAGCCTGCAACCCGGGACAGGGCTGTTGCTTGAACCCGACTGCGCTGGCACCCTGATCTTGGACTTCCAGCCTCCAAAGGCGTGAGAGATGAGTGTTCGTTGTTTATAAGCCACCCAGGTTATGATATTTTTGTAATGGCCCGAACTAAGACAGGAGGCCGCCTTTCAAATCCAAGACTTTTCCGCTGAGAACCCAACAAGTGGATAATCCGAAAATGGGTAAGAGGGAGTTTCCTGTAGCTCCGTCTCATGAATATGTTCCCCTAAAGGATCCTGCTTAGCCTGGAACAGGAAGGGATTTCACCAGTTCTGAGCTCCCAAGACAAACAACGGGGCTTGGTGGAAGGCTAAGTGCCTGACTAAGAGCAGGAATGTGAGTTTTACATTTTCCCCCTTGGAATTCGAGAAGAGTGGCACTTGAGTTGTCTTGGGAATTAAAATTTCTAGGTTTCCAAGGGGAAAGGATGGGAAGCATCGGCTCTAACGAGGGTCCCCTTAGGGGAGCTGCTGGGCGTGGAGTGGCACGGGCTGTCGCGTTCGTGCAGGCTTGCCGTGGAGGTCTCGGGAGCAGCTAACGTCAAGCCAGGCTTCAGGCTGCTTCAACTGGTAAAGCCCCTCCATCCTTCTCTGCATTGATTCCTTGTTCATTCATTCACTGATTCAACAACTACTTGTTGAACGCCTGCCTGCTGTGCTCCAAGCGCGGTGGAAGTGCTGAGGGTACATTAGTACGTAAAAGGTAAAGATCCCTGCTCTTTGGGGCTTACATCTTAGTAGGACGAGACAGACCACAATCAATAAAAATAAACCCGGGAAATTATATGCCATATTTGAAGGTGACAATGGCCTTGAAAAAAATAAACAAAGCAGGGAAACAGGAAATCAATAGTGCCATGCAGCACTGCAATCTTAGATCCGGGGCTGGGGAGAGGGCGTGCTCAGAGCAGGTGGTATTGCAGCCTGGCCCGCAGAGCCAAGCCCCGGGAACGGACTCTTGCCTTCAGGAGAAACTGCTCTTCCTCGCTTTTGATTAACTGTTCCATCTCCTCGTACAGGTGCTGGATCTCTTCATCATAGGCAGCACTTTTCCTGCACAGGTGACAAAAAGAGAGCGCGATGAGATGCCTTTATCCCCCAGTGGAGCTCTGGGTGGCGTGGGTGACCATGGCGGTCGGGCCAGCCAAGGCTGCAGGGTCAGCTCCCCGGGATCAGCTGACCACTGAGGCCCAGCAGGACCCTCTCATCCTCCTATCTCCCAGCTGTCCCTCCCAGGCATCCCTGGGTCCACCTTCCTGTCCTCTGCTTTATCTCAGCACCAATCCACGCAGCCTCTGTGACACTCACCGTCCTATTGCCCACTGATCCCTATATGCTTGTTGACAGCATAAAGGTGTGTGGTGTGGGCTTCCTTTCTGCTTGGTTTCTTGGTGTATCTGTTTCCCACTTTGGGCGCTTTCTCTCTACCTGGTTCCATCAGCACCACCTGAACTGTACTCTCCTGGAAACTATGTGCTGAACTTTGCGTGACCCTCATTTCTCATAGGATCTCAAAGGGTTCCATGGTGGTGACCACCGCCACCATCACAACACCCCTAGAAAGGAAGGGGGCCACACCTGTCCAAGGGCTCACCCATCTCGGCACAGGGCCATGGGAAGGGTGAGGCTGGGTAAATGCTGATGGCAATAGTGACACGCTGGGTTCTCAGCGTCCCCTCCTACTCCGAAGAGCCCCGCAGGACAGGAAGTACGTAGCTGGCCTCTCTGCTCCTACATGGAGATGAAGACAGATACGGCTCTGGGGACAAGGTTTGTGGGTCACCCCGGGATGGCTCCTCTTTCTCTCCCAGTAATAGATCCTCCTTCAAGTACTCCCCCAAGTTCAAACGGGAAGGACCAGGTATTAGCATTCGAACCAAGACTGGAGATGATCACATGTGACATTCCCAGGGGGTTGCACCTCTACACCTCTTCTCTGACCGGGCATGGAAGGTCCTCTCTGCCCCTCGCTCCCTGCCCTCCGTCCTGTTAAGGAAACTCTAGGCTCCAGCAAGCAGGCTTACGTCATAGCTCTCCAGGGCTGCTTTGAACCTGCAATATACACACCTACTGCCAATTCTGGTACCTGCCATTCTAAACTCAAATGCTGGCACTGCCTTGTTCTTTACTCAACGAAGGAGGCGTTTATAATTGAACAAACAGCCCTGGTTCTCGGTTCTAAGAGGTACCAGAGAGATTTCGGAAGAAAACGTCAAGGATGGGAAAGCATTCATTCCCCTGAGCCTTCCGTCATTCAAAGTCCCACCTCCCTGTATCCCCAAGTACCCCTGGGACTCCAGTCCAGCGCCAGGCCTCCCCCGCCGCCCGAGGCTGCACCACAGCCCATAGGCTGCCCCTTCCTCACTCGCTACCTGTGCACCACATGCACAGGCTGCCATTTTGACTGGCATCCTTCCAGTTCGACAGAAACCACACAGCTGACCCAGACGAGGGAACCGGTGTGGATCTGCACGGTCAAGGTCACTCACCTGTCTGAGTTCCCTTTCTTGGTTGTATCCCCAAGACCACAAACCCGACTCTGAGTATGGCACTGGCCCAGGGTGTGCTCAGCAAGAGGACACAGCTCTCCAAGACTCCTCCAAGCCAAGGCTCTGTGTTCATCACTGGGCTTCCCATCCCAGGAGTAACAAACGTCTTTCTGGTGAAGAATGAGAACTCTCTTCTTGGTAAATGACAAATGTTTGGACTGTTGCTTTGGTTCTTAGCTACCCCATGACAATTACAAGAAAACCTTGGCGAGAAGTAAGGAGCCGAGGCACCTGCTGTTGCATAGGGACACCTCAGGGGCAGAAATGATACAGTGGAAAGGAAATTTCAGAAGCAGAGATGGTCTTCCCCTGGTGCCTGGAGTTATCTTCCTGTGCTGGAAGAAATTCCAATGCTACGTGGTAAACGGTATCCAGGAAAACTTTAGAGACAATGATTCCAACTATATAAGCACCAGGGAACTAATAAAGTGATATGAGAAAAACTTAAAAATGGATTTGACGCTGCTAAAGCAACACTGGTTACGGTCAGGCACATAAGCTGTGTACCGTTTAGGCCTAATAACCATGCAGAGCATTAATTCCACACTATCATTAAATGTGTTATATTAACTTGAAGTTTTATTGGATTAAATTAATAAACTCTATGCTTCTCGTGCTCACATGTCAGTCTGTTAGTCGTGAAGTAAGTAATTTTGCAAATTGCTACAAACAAACAAATGGGGGGGAAGAGAGAGGTAGCCTCTGAATGGCACCTACTCCCAGCCCTCAACACAAAGGATGCGCCCACCACAAAGAAGTCCTGGGATGCAGGCGGGCATCCGCGATCCTGGGCCCACACTGGATCAGACATGGAGCTCATTCTTTGCAAATGCTCTTGAACAAAACCAGCCAGCATCCTGGTAGGCTGCCAAGGCCTGAATGTCTTCAGAGGATGAGCCCTGACCCAGGGCCGGACACCCGAGCCCCGGCAATGAGATAATTAAGGTGCTGTGCACACCAATCCCATCACCAAACCAGCTCAGAGGGCAGAAGACCTCCTCCGATCCCAAAGTAGCACCTGTACCCCCGGTTCCTCCCAGCATCATCTCGATGACCAAACAAGAGAGCAGGTTTGCAAGGTATTTGAACTGCAAAGTCCTAAATGGATGTAAGGGATTATTTATTATCGTAATTATTATCATGGGCTGCGGGGGGCAAGGGCTAACACTCCCCAAGGGGAGGAGGGTCTTTGTTTCAAGAATAAAAGGGTTGCTAGGTTTGGAAAGGGGCAGAAGCAATCAGCAAGATGAAGAACAGGAAGCTTAGTCAATCAAACCTCCTGTCAGAGCGAGATCCATTCGAGATGCAGGCTGTGTGTGAGCAGGGGCTGCAGAGAAATTATTTTTCTGGGAGAAACAATGGCTAGAGACACTCTCAAAACACCTGGGCAGGGCTTCCCTGGTGGCGCAGTGGTTGAGGGTCCACCTGCTGATGCAGGGGACACGGGTTCGTGCCCCGGTCCGGGAAGATCCCACATGCCGCGGAGTGGCTGGGCCCGTGAGCCATGGCCGCTGAGCCTGCGCGTCCGGAGCCTGTGCTCTGCAACGGGAGAGGCCACAACAGTGAGAGGCCCGCGTACCGCAAAAAAAAAAAAAAAAAAAAAAAAATCTGGGCATATGGCTTATGGTGCTCCAGCCGGGCTCACCACGTTCTGCCATCAGAGGAAAGAGGCAATGGATTATGTTTGCTTATTATACACCCCTTTGTTGCCACTATTTCTAAAACCACTCAGATTGCCTGACGCACACAAACACAGACTTTGAAGTCTTCTCCATGAGTATTTCCCTGTCTGTTCCAACGCGCTGACCCCCTTCTCTGACCTCGGAGGACACCGTATGTCTTTATGTGAACATTTCAAAGCCCTGAACTACTCTTTCCTTTGGGTTTATGCTGTCTTCACTAGGTTACGAACACTCAGACATTGATGTCACCCACAGGGCCTGTGCTCAAAATGTTAATGCCGAAAATCTGTAAGAAATAAATTTAAGACTTTGGATACCAGACTCAGAAGTCCATGGGTGGACCACATGGCAGGAAATACCAGATTCCAGGGGAATTGAAGAATTTCGGGGTTGGAAGGCTTGTCTGATCCAACCACCTATTTTTCCAGTGTTAAAATCCTCGCCACAATATCTCCACCAAGTATTTACCCAGACCGGGTTAGAACACCTCCAGGGAGAGGGAATGCTGGATCTCTAAGCAGCTCTTTCATCTATGGACTATTCTGGCTCATAGACATGTGTCTTTCTATGACCTTATCCTGCCTCTGTGTAATAACCCTTCATATATTTTAAAACAGCGTTAAGGCATCAAGGAGTAGCCTTGGGTTGCGGTCATGCCTCTCCACTTCCTCCAGCCATGTCTCACATGGAATTTTTCTTTTGGAAGTCCCTTCACCATCCCCTTTACTATTCTCTGAATGGGCTCTAATTGAGCTTTCTCAAGCCATAGAGTCACAAACTGAATGCCCAGTGTATGAGGGCTGATCGGTGCAGATTAGATCTCTCTTGCTTTAGTTGCTGCCTACCTATTCATGCAGCCTAAGAGCACATTCACTTTTCTGGGCAGTCACATCACATAGTTGATGAACGCTGAACCCATTTGTCGACTAAAACCTCGAAACTTGATGGCAGAGTGATGGTTTTTGTTTTAAAGATGGTGCGACTGAGGGGCTTCCCTGGTGGCACAGCGGTTAAGAACCCGCCTGCTAATGCAGGGGACATGGGTTCAAGCCCTGGTCCCGGAAGATCCCACATGCCACGGAGCAACCAAGCCCATGAGCCACAACTACCGAGCCCATGTGCCACAACTACTGAAGCCCATGCACCTAGAGCTTGTGCTCCACAGCAAAGACAAGCCACCACAACAAGAAGCCCACTTGTTACAACTAGAGAAAGCCCATGCACAGCAACGAAGACCCAAAGCAGCCAAAAATAAATTAATTAATTAATTTAAAAAACAAAGAAAAAGGTGGTGTGACTGAATCCTCTCTCTCCCACCTTGTGCTTTGGCCATTGGTGTTTTGGATTTTGGCAAGATCTCAAATGCAATTCTGTTAGGTTTTATGCCTGTTAGATTCAGTCCATCTTTCTCAGCTGTCACTATCTTAATGGATCCCAGCCGGTGGCCCAGTGTATTCAATGACCTTCCAAATTCTGTTGATACTTTAAGTTTTCAATCATAATGTAATCTAAATAACCTATAATGTTGGTTTTGATTATTTAATTTATCTGAGATTTACTTAGAAGAGCATTTTAGGGACTACTCTGGTGGTCCAGTGGTTAAGACTCTGAGCTCCCAGTGCAGGGGGCCTGGGTTTGATCCCTTGTCAGGGAACTAGATCCCGCATGCTGCAACTAAAGAGCCCCCATGCTGCAACTAAGGAGTCCACATGCCACAACTAAAGCTCCCGTGTGCCATGACAAAGATCCTGTGAAGTCAAATAAATAAAATAAATAAATATATTTTTAAAAAGAAAAAAAGGAAGAGCATTTTAAAAAATAT